CAGCACCCCCATCAATGCTATCCAAAACAGCAGCTACATTCGCAGCATCAGTCTCAGGGATAAACGCGGGGAAAAACTCTTGATACGGGGTGTCATCATAGCCATCCATGAGCTGCTCGTCGGTGAGCACACTCGTGTCTCCAAGATCCATACCCGGAAAAGTACCCACACAAACAAACTCGGACGCCGAAGAAGGTACTACGCCGGCAGAGCCGGCGGGCGGGACGCTCTCACTGAAAATATGAAATCATCTTACCACGAAAAATATCAAACATAATGTACAAGTCCTGCTCCTTCTTTACACTACCAAGCCAAGGTTCGATTTCTGAGCCTGGATTGACACGTAACGTGCCTGAGCGGGCAAAGCCCTGTTGTTGAGCGATGGCCTCAGCTGTCGCCTTGGCCGCTTGCGCCACGATGTGTGAGACGCTGCTGGGGTCGTTGAATGTGGCTGGTGTACCCTGGCTGGAGGGTGATGGTTGGTTGCCAGTAGGTGGGACTGGGTTGCCGGTTGGAGTGGCTGGGTTGCCGGCTGGTGGTTGGGCAATGGTGATTTCACCCTCGTTGATCCTGTTGGCTTCGAGTTCGGCTTGCACTCGTTGCTGGACGATCTCCTCCACTTTTTGTTGTAGCTCTTCCCCGCTGAGGGCGGAGAGGTCGATGTCCTCCATGGTGTTTGGTGTTGTGGGAGTCTACCGATTGCGCGTGACTGCACAACCCCCGGATGGCTACGCCCGCGCGCAGATACCGTGATATCGCACTAGTGTGAAAGGTAAACTACGCGGGGTGCAGCAAGCACGTTCTGGACGTTACTTGGGGCACTGGGTAGTCGGCCGTGTTAGGCCGAGAGAGAGAGATTGAGAGAGAGTTGGAGAGAGAGTGGGAGAAGGAAACTTGATTGGAGAGAGACGGTGGTGGTGGTGGAGAGAGAGAGGAAGAAAGTGAGCGCAGCACGCACGCAAGCTTCATCGCACCAACCACGCCAAAAGGGTCCCCGTGACCGCACCGATGGTACCCTGCAACACACGAAATTCCCAACACGTATCCCCCTGGGATCCTCACGACCAGATACTGCTGCGAGTATATCTAACAACTCTGGTACTACAGTACGACGCGTGCACTGTGGTTTGGAGTCAGGAGACAACATCTCGGCAAGCACGTGATTACAACAGTACTGCTATGAATCAGCCTTCATGCACCTCAGCAAGAAGACTCGTCGATCCCCCGGGTCGCAACTTACACTCTAGTTGTCGTCCGAGCAGGCCAGGCGAGGGTCACCGCCAAGGCGAGTGATGAGAAGCCTCGCATTTCAGACCGTTTCCGGACGCTAAGGATCCGACGTTCGCTGCTGTTTCCGGAGCAGCGACCACAACAACATCGTTCGGTGGAAACGCGAGAGGATTGGGCAGAAACAGAAAACGAGGAGCATGAAGAAGTGAACGCCCAAAATTGTACCGAGCCGCTTTGTGGTTGAAGATGCAATTTTAGCCATACCGGCTACAATACACACTTACTATCCATCTAGACGGCAGAGACTCTCCGCACTGCTAGCAGGTTCCGACGAGAGAGACGACGCCGTTGACCGTGGCGCAATGGCAGAGCGCCAGGATGTGATCGGACATAAAAAATGACAGCATGCTGGAGTGAGGTGCCTCCAACAACGCCGTTGATCGCGTACCAGTATGTCTTACCCCTTGCTTCTCGTTGGGTCGTAGCCCGCTGCGTTTCATAGCGCTTGACGTCTAAAATATCGAGACGGCGCGGGGCCATGCTTGTTTGGCACACGAAATGTCCGGTGCATCATAAAAAGTACGCTATGGCGGCGGTGGAGATCGAAAGAGGTCATCGGTGCAAATTTATGTACACATAGGACTCGACTACTGACATGCTTCTTTGGACGTGCAGTGACATGAACGTGGTACCACGTGTTCTATACTCACCGCTGACAACAAGCAGGGTCCGGCTCGGTCGTCCGCCTGGTTTGTGGCACAAGGACGCGGAGCAATGGCGAAGCGAATCTGAATAAATTGAAGTATGTGTTGTGACATCAACTTGTGGCACTAAGCTACAAGTAGGCCACCCAATTATTCCGATCAACCTGCAGTTTTAGGCGCTGCGGATTGTTGTGTTCGGTAGTACAGCAGTAGTTGGGTTTCCTCTCGAATTTTTCGTCACCGCACACACACTACACTCAACGTGTTTTGCAAAGACTGTGTAAGACCGCATAGACTATATATTTCTAGACTAATCGGTAATGCTTATCATGCAGCAGTCAGTCGGGCCGTGGTTGTATACAGGTACGTACAGTAGTCTGTTCCGTTCGTACAGTAACGTGTTGGAAAAAACTTCAAGCTATAATCGGTCGGTCGGTACGCCAATCCCCTGAACAAGTGCCCCATGCCCACAACAACCTGTCTGTGTGCGCCCACAACAACATGTCTGTGTGCGTACTGCGTACTCCTCCTGTGGAACTTCCAGCAAAAAAGTGACCGTTGACATCTTTCGTCTCGACCACGCTCTCTCTTCTTTGGTCCAGATTCCAAAAATCCTTGTCGCTGCTTGTGCCATGGAAGAAGCTGGGAGACTCGCTACTACTGCTGCTGTATGTATGTGTTGATTATTCCCGAACCATTCAAGAACGACCAACGGGTGCAGATAGACGTATGTATGCATACAGATAGCAGACGTAACCTGACCCCGTGCTCCATCCTCCGTGATGGTACGTACCATATTATGCGCATCCCCCAAAGATCTCGCAACTCTACACGCGAGATCGCCACTTTTGGTACCAGCGTTCTTTTCGTTCGCGCCCTCGGCCAACGCCAAACCTGTGGAGGACGGGGGAAAGATCAACCTACAGTACCGTTGAGTGAGCTTCATACCCCCATATCATTGAGTGCTGAGTGCCTTTGCGCGGGGAGTCGCTTTTTCACCTCCTCGCCGAATATGCTGCAGGGCAACGCGAGACAAGAAAACATTTTCCTCCGACGCGTTTGCATAGCGTACAACGCCGTCGAAGTAACTCACGAAGTTGACAGGCGCTTGTCGAAGTATTACTGTAGGATACATACAACCACAACAAGCCACATGGTGTTAGCTATACGCATAAGTTCGACCATCACCACCTACACGCCTACCCGTACGAAGCGAATAAAAAAACGCGCTGAAATTGCGTGTCTCTCTCATGGCGGGAATCAGATCATGATTTTATTTCAGGTTTATTTTCATTTAGTCTAATTGTTGGGTTAAAAAAAAGTACCTCGAAAATGGGGCGTGCATACTATCAGGTGCATGTCCGTTCTCGTCTTGAAAATACAGGATTGACTACAGTTAGGAGAGGTAGCACGGGAATGGTACATAACAAACTGCAACACACAATCAATTCCGTGCCCTGATTCGTTCACACATTGAGTTCATTGGACAGCTGACATATCAAAGACTCGGTGCGCCATCCAACTCGATGGTGCGGAAACGAGGTGAAATTTCCTGAAAAATCACCGCAGTTGCAGAAATTTCACTTTTGCTGTGTTCGCTCTATTTCCCATACACTCGCCTTTCTACTCCCTGCGCATCAAACGGAAACGGTCACGCAAACGTTCCAACCATGTCAGCCAGCGAAAATTCTACTGGCAGCTCCATATTATCGTACAACAAACTTGACGCCATCTAATCCTCTAGCAAAAATGAAGAAAAAAATGCTCCAGAAACACAACAAACGAACACCTTGCTGTAAATAGGGGGGACAAGAGACCAACCTCTGCCATCCCTTGTACAAGAACGTCGGCTACGGAAAAAAGCAGTCGAATACTGCCGTCCGGTGTTGTTAGTGTTGTTCATTTCGTGGCTAGTTCAACCAAACCCTGGCAACGAAGCCTGTCATGATATCTACTAAAACCTAAGCACAACGCTGAAACAGAAACTGTGCATAACCGCTAGTTTTTCCAATGATGTCCATACATGACCACGTGCCGCCTAAATGATGCCCGAACCTCGCTCGCCCTTTTCTACACCCGATTCGCCCCACCTAGACTTTCCTGGAGATGGAATATCACGGTTTTCGTAAATCGACACGAGTCGAATTTCTTCCGAAAACAGACACGCTGGCTTCGAGGGCTTTCCCTCGGTGTGGAACGACTGGATGTCGCCACCTCGCAGGGGGAGGGGCATGGGGTGACAAACCTCAACCATCAAGCCGATACGCGGCACGACGCAATCCTTGCTACACAAATTCTTTGCAGCCGCATATGTAGTTGCCAAGCCCCGTCCACGGCTGGCTGCGAAATTTCAAAGCAGCCGGTATTTTGAGAATACCCTTGCTCACCACCTCCCCCCTTTCTTCCTTCAACAAAACAAGCCCACGGGGAAGCTCAACTCAGTACACCTACCTACCTTTGATACGAACATCTCTACAGAGGCTCAAGAAAATTCACGGACGTTCGTGTTGGTCGCAACCTACTACTCCTCTGGGCGTCATATCCACGTGGTAGCAAATCGCTCAACGTCGTAGCCCTGAACGCCGCAAATAGTTGGACGCCGTGCTAATCAAAGCGCCCGATGTGCAGGTGTGCAGGAGAGTAGCAGTGGCCACCTGAAAGAAAGCAGGCTAAGGCTAAGGCTGTCCCCCGTCGCCACTACAAGGAGTTTTCGGAACCATCACATAACCTGGGTACACCGTCCACAACCAACTTCGCGTCGCCGAGAGACTCCACACGAAAACTCTACAACCCGCCGTCCTGTACAAGGCGATGCGAGAGTAGTGGAGCAACCCCTCCATCAGTAACAAAACTATTCAAGTTGGCGACTCCGAAAAGCATGGCTACACTGCCCCGAGCAGGTGCACATGATCACAGTAACTACCGGAGCAACGGGACGAGGAAGAAGCTGGTGGAGACGTAGTAAAAATACACTAAACCCATGTCGACCCCGCGATCTAGGTGGCACAAGACACGCCGGAAAAAAACACGAGAAACACGAAAATTTACAAGCACAGGACTTTGCCGGGGGCAAGGACACGCCGTTTCAGCAGTAGAAACAAATCAACGCGAGCTAGCTCGATTTTCGGTCGAACTGCCACGGTGGCAGCTGATGTCAAACAAACAAACAACAGCATGCCAAAATGTGTCTCCCCATTGGTTTGGAGACATAATAAAACACAAGGCAAGAAGAGACAGACGGAGTAAAAAAACGACAAGACGATCCCGCTCGACACAAGACAGAAGGGGCGGCCGGTTTTGTAAGGATTGTCACCATCCACACAAGTGATGTCACACGTAAGGCAGACAAGCCAAGCGGGGTTCAGATATCATAGACCATTCCCTGTTCTTGTCTCTCATGGCTCTCGCTCCCCAGCGACGTCGATTGAGGTCTAGGAGAAGCACCGGGGGCCTGGCCTATCGCAAGGTGTTGGCTTTGGCGTTGCTGCGGAGACGACGGTCCACCACTCGCTTGTGATGGTGCTGACGACAATGGCGACAACGATGGTAGGCCGGTGGTGTTGCTCATGCTGCTCCACCCAAGACTGCCCACGTTTGCAGCACCCCCAACTAGCGTCCGGCCTTGCAACTATCGGGGGGTTGAAGAGGGCAGACAACGTGCATGGGCAACCGTGGAAGTGGCACCAGGGGGAACGGTTAGGTGGGGGCACATAACGTGTTCACGGGTGTCCCAATTCTTGAAACAGAGGATCCCACGCGAGGACGGGCGACCTTAGGACCTCGCCTGCTACGAGTACGAGTCTCTCGGCACATCAGGTGGCTTTTCAAGCGATCAATTACAACATCGCGGCGTCGCTGTGGCACCTAAGCCAGAGGTAAAACAATACAAGTATTCAACCAAGCACACGAATAGCCACACGCAACAAACGCCGACAACAAGGCTGGGGAACCACCAGGCACGCTGCGCATGGTTGCAGGTTCTGAACAAAACGGAGAGACTTGAAAGTTGCAAGACCCGCTGCGTACTCCACGAACACACCAAACAATGTGCGAGAGGACTTCAATCCCAGTAGCACGCCCACCACGTTTTCGACTGCGCTGTCAAGGCCACATGGACCATATGGTCGCTCCGTACAGTGGTGCTCATCCACGAGGTCCGTGCCATATATGCGAAAACTATTTACAAGTTGGACACCGACGTGCTGGAAGTGCACCGAATTGCGGTGTCTGAATCCATGTGGGCTGTGCCTCGTTGCCGTTGTCCCAAAACAGATTTCCGGGTGTGCAAGTCCCGACGGGAGAACAAGGACCCGGGGCCAACGCTACCATACAGCCCGTTGATGCATTGATCACCTGCGACATCCCAGCCGAAGACATGAGCAAGGGCTGCATTTGCGAGACCTGGCGTTGGCTGCCGAGGCCTGCCCACCCGTGTGGGGAGTCTTGTCCCGTGGAAACGGCCTCGGTTCGGGGGCTTCGTGGCAGGGGTTGGCTCTGCTCGCGGAGGATCGGGGGTGGGGGTGGGGGGTCATCGAGGAATGAAACGCGAGAATTCGTGCTGATAAAGGCCGCGAGCACATTTAAATATCTGGGCCGTTCTACGGTTAATACGTTTAGGGAGGTCAATCGTGTGCGCTCAAGAGGACCTTGTTATCCCACACCCTGCAAACACCCACAGTTTCGGGCGTCTTTCGAGCAAGAAAGGTCGTTTCTGTCCAAGCAAGATGGTCGGATACGAGCCTACAGGGTTTTCTTGTTGCGCAGTGCCGATTGGCTTGGATCAGCACGCTGTGGGATGTGACCAATGCGGGAATGCTGATGGTCGAGGATTGTGAAAAGGTGCTCACAAGATTCGTGTCGTCGGCCATGAAGCTGCAGTTGCCGAACAAATCACCCCACGGTTGCTGCTGCTGCTGCTGCTGCTGCTGCTGCTGCTGTTGCTGTTGCTGCTGGTGCTGCTGGTGCTGGTGCTGTTGTTGCTGGTGGTGGTGCTGCTGCTGCTGCTGCCGTTGCAGCTGCTGCTGCTGCCGGTGCAGTTGCCGTCGTTGTTGTTGCTGCCGCAGAGCATGCGCCTCGCGGGAACCACTGGCGGTGCCTCCCATCACCCCGCCCCCTCCTCCCGTAGCTGTAGATACCGCCGCTGCGGCCGCCATGTCCCATGACCCTCCCCAGCCCCCTTGGCCCAAGGCAGCGGCGTCAGGCATGACAAAAGTGGCGGAACTACTGTCGCCCCCGATGCTGCCAAGGCTGGTGCCGTCGCAAAGAGCCGCCTGATGTTGCACGCCGTGGAATGCCGAGGTACGCGTCCATCATATGAATTACTTGAACATTGTGTTGCAAGTGCCGGCCGCGCAATCAAGCTTGTGTTTCTGTCGTCTGTTAACTTGGTCGTTAACGCCGTGTGCCATTCTCAGGAAAAAACACAAAGCAGCAAGGGTCATCTCAAAAATAGCCATAGACGTAAACGAAGTGAGCAAAGCCCGGGGATAGGGGTTAACCCAAGGGTTGGTCATTTGACAATACACTCGTGAGAGACGACGTCGACTGCATCAGGAACAAAAGTCAAAGTCAGCGTGAACGTTTTCCGAAGCCTTCTTGAACTGGTTCGTGGTCCCAAATGCATCCGAGGAGACAGAAAACGTAGAGAGGGTGCCCTAAGGAGGATTCGTCACAGCCAACCGGATAAAACATACAATGGGCAAGAATGCACGAGGTTCTCCAGCTGTTGACCTGCTACTCAGTGCTGTCGCTACCAGAATAAGAGCGCGATGCAAAGTTAGGCGTAGAGTGTGCCGGCAACAGGCCACTCTTCCTTGTGCTGTCGACGGCAGCCTCGAGAGCAAGAGGGTGGGTGTTTAAGCGTGTCGAGGCAAGACAATCAACTACTTTGAATCCCCCAACACGATAATTTGGTGCAGAGATGCGGGTAGGTTGCATCAGCGTCAACCTACCACGGGCCGTACTGATAGACCTACGATCGTCGGCACCAACCTCGAGGGGGAAGGAGTGTGGGATGGCACCCGACCCCACGGCGCCGAGCCCAGCCGGCAGCGACGCCTGACGAGAAAGGCGGGTACACTGCTGTAGCGGTGCGACACGGGAATGGGTAGGGAAGCATCGGAGAGGGGGCGCAAACGGGCGGAAGAGTGGGAGGGGGCCTGCCTCGTCAGAAAAATAGTGGTAGTGGCGCGCCCTGGGTTTCGGACGCTTGACCAAACTTGAAGAAACAACTTCACAAGTGCCACCAGACGGCCGATACGATCCCAGCAGATTCCATCTGCAAGACAGAATTTTCGCCTACTGTAGTACGTACTGGCGAGCAGCCAAAAGCCTCAACCAGAAGAAGCGGCGTGATTCGCCCGACTGGGGCTCTCTGTAGGCCTCACGTTCGGCGAGCGCTCCACGGCGTCACTGCTGCAGCTTCTCGCTTCCCGCACTTCTTCGCCCGTCACCCCAGACAGTTGCTGCTGCTGCTGCTGTTGCGAGAAAGCCCCGGGGGATAACCTCTGCTCCCGCGAAGCACGCGAAACTCCAACACCTACACCCACGCCTGGGGGAGTTGCGACCGCCGTGCGATCAGGCGTCACCACCGTCCGCTGCTGTTGCTGTTGGAGCTGCGGGGTTAACCGACCGAAAGATGGAGATCGCTGGCGTCCTGTCGAGGAGATCGGTGGGAGTGGTGCGGGAAACGAACTGTCCCACGATGGGGAAGAAGCAGAAGAAGAATAGGGCATGCCAAGCGAAGCTGCAGAAAAGTCTTCCTGCTTCTTCTGCATCAGCTGCTGCATCTGTTGTTGCTGCTGCTGCTGTTGTTGTTGCTGCTGGTGCTGGTGCTGCTGTTGCTGTTGCTGTTGCTGCTGCTGATGCGGTTGATGCTGTTGCTGTTTCTGCTGTTGCTGCTGCTGCTGCTGTTGCCGATGCTGCTGCTGCTGCTGCTGCGCCTGCGCCTGCGCCTGCGCCTGAGTCTGCGATCTCCGGCGGCCGGGAACCGGGCCGGACCCCGACGCCACCATCCTTGACGTGGAGGACAAGGTGCCAGCACTCCTCGGAGACAAGGTCGGCGACAACATGCTTCCCCTGCCACTGTTGCTACGGCTAAGCGGAAACGAGGGCGAAGACGGGGGAAGGCAGGACGTGACTTGCCCGCCGTGATCGAGCACCACCGCATCAGCAACACCTCGTTGTCCCGATACGGGCGCTAAAGGTGACGGTGACGTCCGGGTCGCCTCCGCCGCTCCCGCTTCAAGCATGGCGGTTGCTCTTGATGGTTCGACCGGCCTGGAGGAGGCGGAGGCCGCGATCGGGCTGGCGGGGTTGCGACCGGCGATGTGCTGCCCCAGGGAGAAACCAGAACCGCCTCCGATCTGATAGAAACCCTCTTGGGGGAGTTCTATTGAGGTTTGCAGGAGGGGAGGCTGGCCATCGTTAGAACCAGACTGCCGTCGCTGCAGCGGAGGCCGTTGGTACTCTTGCTGGTGGCTCGGCGATGGCACCGGTGGCCGCGGTAGCTGGTCATTGCTCGGGCTGGCGGTCGAAACCCTCAGGGTTATCATCGCATCAGGACTGGTCTTGATCGCCTGGTGCAGGATCGCAACGCCGACCACAAGGCAAAACGGGCAAGGCGAGCGGTTTGGATGGACCGCCTACGCAGGATTGTAAGAGTATCTATTATGGAAAAATAATAGGGAGGGGGCACGCAGACCCTATCCTGAACCCTAACCCTACCCCCAAAGCACGGATTGAATTAACTATCCCATATGCCTGCTTATTCAATTTCGCTGCGTAGACTACTGGTTTGGATCCAGCCCACGCCTCGACAGATGGTTTGCTCCAAGCTAGTCATCGAGCATGTGACACACAGCTGTGCAGCAACGGTGGTGACGGCGTCGATGGCCTGGGACTCGGGTTGGGGGTCAGAAACAAAAGACAGGACAAAGCGCGGGGTAATGGTTCCAAAGTCGCATCCATTGTACAGTACCAGGCAGGGGTGGCTGCGGCCCTTGAGCAAACATCTACAGGGGATGGTTTTGACGATGGTAAAGAGCACCAAACAGAACGACAGGTACAGCACGATCGATGGCGAAAACAACCGCAGGCGTCCATGTGCATGCGGGAGCAGCGCCAGGCAACCCCTGTCTCGAAGAGCGATCATCGTCCAGCCGATTGAGATATACGTGACGGGTGACGGCCGATTCCAACAGCTTCATCCCTGCAGGAAAAGGTGTCGTCTCTTCGCCTTGCGCTACAAAAGGCTACGGGAGACGCATAGGTCAGCAAACCCATACCATGTTGATATGATTTGACTAAACGATCGAAAATATTGGGGACCGTGACTCAACGCTTTCCTACAAATAGCCCTGGTAGTGTCTCCCACACGATGTTCGTCCATTCATCGGAAGCTGAAACCGTCGCCAATAAAGAGAGACCCAAGCAGAAACAAAGTTTGGAAAACGAGCTCCCAATCAATACTTCCAACAGAGAACCGCACCATGCCACCACGTCAAGGCCAAATCTCAGCCCCTTGTTGCCTGTTGCCCGTGTGCAGAGGAACTGACCTTCGCATCGCCATCATGGACCTCGCGACCCGCCACCAAGCTGTCCTGCTGGTGCTGTTGTTTTCGACGCTGCTGTAGTTGCTGCTGCTGTTCGCCAGCGAGGTGGGCCGGCTGAAGGCCCCGTCTCAGTCTCTCCTCCGTCGCCGCGACCGTTAGCCGGCCGGTCTGATTGCTGTCGTGAGCGGCGGCCGCTGCGTCATCCGAGCCTCTCGCCAGCTCTTGCGCCAGGGTGTTCCAGTTGTTGCGATCGATAGCTTTCGCCTGAAAGGGGTAGGGGGGGGGTGATGGAGTCGGGGGAGATAATTGTCGTCATACTTCGTAGTAGGAGAAAGGACAGCGGGCGGGGGGGGGCTCAGCAAATATACGTGTTCTTATATTACCCCCCTAAAAAACCGCGGAGCTCGAGAGTGACAGTCTAGCCTAGATAGAGCACATTGGGTTTTGGAATGACCAGGACATCCCGGCAACAATACAAGGTGTGGGGTGATACGTTACACTAGCTAGTCGCATTAAGGGTATGCACATTCCAGCACGCGCAGCCGAGCAGTGGAGAGGTCGGAATCGACTCCCGCTGAATACAGTTCAGCACAGGCACCCTCCCGAACGAGATAGTTTCCTTAGCAACATGTCTCAACACAAGCACATCACGTGAATGTTCATCCTCTGAGTCGTGCACAGTCCAATCGACTTGAACGGGTGGTGACGTGCAAAGTCGGGCAAGAGAGAGTCAAGAAATCGTCAGAGGTAAGACGTGGTCGCCTGTGGGCGACAATGCATAAAAGCGCTACACGGGAAGAACAAATTTGAAAATGAACGGGTCGCATATGGTAGCTGAGAACTGTTGAATTGTGTCGGCATCACGTTTGAGTGCACCCTTCCTTGAAGCTCGTGCAAAAAAGGGGGCCAACCAAAGCACTCGTCGATTGCGGGAACAGCACGCAGCACAACCGTCCGGTACACATAGATTGCCTGGTCCTTCCAGAGCTGGAGCACACGACACTTGAACATCGCTGACAGAGAGCTGGAGTTCGTCCACTCCCTACCCTTCCAAAACAGCCTACACCAGACCCAGCCGGACCAAACACAACTCTGAACGATCCGTCGACTCCGTCCCTAACCATGAACCGCTCACCCTGCAGGCCGACATCAAAAGCCACAAGCGCCCATTTATCGGTCATACCCTGCCCGACACACGCACCTTCTCCACGGCTGGCTTGGCGAACTTTGTGAAGACGGCGGGATCGTGCGGCCGGCCGCCGTTCGCCGGCGACAAGTGTGTAACCGGGGACAGCAGCGTCCGGTGAACCGTTCGGAACGCGACGGCTCTCTCCTCCTCCAGCCTCTTCTTGCTCTTGACGCTCGTCTTTCGCTTCACCGTTGTCATTGTCGGCGCCGCCACCGCCGCCGCCGCCGCCAGCTTCTTCTTGGTTTGCTTCTTCCTGTCGTCGTCCTCCCGCGGTGCCTGTGGCGTCGGATGGACGGCTAGCCCCTTCATACCGTCGTTGATCAACGCCTCCGCCGCTTTGGTGCTCAAGGCCGCCGCCGATCCGTCCGCGATCATTCTTTTGGGATGACCGGGCCCTTCTGTGAAGGATGGTTTCAGCGCGTCAAGGTGGGATAGGATAACCGTGCAACGTTGAGGACTTAGAGCCATCGGCAAAACGGGGCGTGGGGGGGTTGATGTGGGCCCCTGCTGCGTGGTAGACGCCATAACCTGACGAAACATTCGGAAAGCTTGTACACTGCTGTAGATATGCGGGTCTGGCAGAAAAAATATTTGTTTCTTGCTGGTTGCCATCTGCCTGGGTGTCACAGGGGTTCGTGGAGGCTTTCTTGATACGAAATTTGAGACGTTGGTGACATGTTCACTTCGAAAAAAAGCCCCGACGCCCCATTCATCGTCATCGAAGCCCATGTTCCTCGTCTCTCCTGCTTGGATATGCACGATTCTCTGGCAGTCGCGCACAGACACCGTTTCAAGAGGTAAAACAAACAAGAACAGAGCAAAGACGCCAAGAAATATACCCCGGAAAACAACATGTCAACACTATCGCCCGACTGTCAAGCCGATCCCTCCTGCTCGGCAAGTACGAATCACCCAAAAGAGGCGTCTGTTCCTTCTAGCTTGCCTTTTGCTTGCTGCTTCTTCGCCCTCCTCTTGGCCTCGTCGCTCCTTTCCTTGCCACTCTTATCCGTCCCCACCGAGTTGTTCAAGGCCTTCGAGGTTGGCAGGGGCACTACTTTCTTCGACCCAGACGAGGCCGCCGCCGCCGCAGCAGCAGTAGCAGCAGCGTTTAGCCCTTTCTCCCACCCTAGAACGGCGGAGACCGCCATCTCAGCAGCAGAACGCACACCGCTGCGGGCTGCACCACCACCGGCGGCGGCGGCGGCGGCGGCAATAGCCGACTCCAGACCACCTTGCGAGACCTGCTGCCGCGGAGCGCCGAGCAAGACGCTGCCGCCCCCTTTCATCCTCCTCGCCCCGCTGCCGCCGCCGCTCCCAACGACCGCCGTAGACGTGGCGCCTACCCCACCAGTTGCCGCGATCGACGATTGCGACCTGTCCGCTAGGCCCAGCCCGCCACCCCAGCCTCCGTCCCCGCTACTAGCCGACGCCTCCGGGGTGTTCATCCTCATCATGCCGTTGGGGTTGCTGGTATGACCGTTGGGATGTGTTTCGTCGGGGTAGTTCGTCACCCCGCTCCGGCCGCCGCCTGCTCCCGGAGATTTCGCCGCACGGTCGCCGGTAGCACTGCTTCGACCGGCGGAAGCGGGGGCGGCCGTCGGGCGAGAAGACTGGGACGCTCCTCCAGACACAGACGGGGCTTGGGACTGCTTCTTGTTGGGCCGTTTCGTGGGCGTACTAGAGACCGGTACCGCAGCAGCAGCAGCAGCAGCAGCAGCAGGGGCGGCGCCGGCGGTAGCGGCAGTGGCGGGGGTACAGGAAGCGGGCACGACGGGACGGCCGCCACGAAGGGCCGTCGTTATCTGCGTCTGGCACTCCACCAGCCTCCGCTTCGTGCTCTTGCCGAGGCGTTTCGCGCCCAGCCCGAGGAAGAACTGTTCCTCGTCCTTTAGGAAGGCGAGAGCACACAAACAAATACATCCCGTCCAACAAAAAAAAAAAAAACGGGTTACGGTCAATCACGCCACGCAACCGCAGCAGTGCACAAGAAGACTAACGGAGACAAATGACAAGGTCAAAGAGTTACAGTTGGTGGCGGGCGTTCGCGTTGGAGGAGGCCAAGCAGCAACACTCCGAGCAGCGGGGGAGATGAAAAACAAGGGAGGGTGGCATGCGAGGTGGTGTCACTACCGAAGGCCGCGAAAACGTGCATCAAGGAGGACAAAATACCCGTTTTGGTGCGAACAGAACGAGAGCCTCCTCTACGACAAGCACACCTACATTTAACTACTTACACAACGTCAACAACCGTACTGCGGACAAGACTCGAATGCAAGGGGTGTTCACAAAGGGTAAACAAGAGACACATCGGAGGGAAAGACCCTTGCATTGTCAATGCCAAAGGAGAGAGAGAGAGAGAGAGAGAGAGAGAGAGAGAGAGAGAGGTGCACACATCAAGACGGCCACATAAACTTGATCCACGCAAGTGCAGAAAAGACGCGTCTAACGCATCTCACCGGCGCATCCTCAACCCCCGGCAGGGCAAGGGTTTCCAGCAGACGGTAGTGGTGTCTCTCGAAGCGGAACGTCAAGTTTCCACCGCCGCCTTCCCCGTCTGCTCTCGCGGTGCCCTCCCCCCGGACCATGGTTGCCAGCCTAGACACGTCCACGCTGGGTTCCAGACAAATTTCTCTGCAAGCACAAAGGATCGAACCAGCGCGGGAGTAGCGGGCGGGACAAGAGGAAGCTCGATGAACGGTGCATGGCGAGTCCCTGCCTTCACAACGAAGGCTGGGGGGTCCCGCAGGAGAGGAAGCCTTCCTGTGGAACCTACCCCGTCGACGCCAAAGCGGCTGAAGGGGAACGAGAGACTAGAAAGGCGGTAGCTGAAAATGCCCGGCATCAGTCGAGACAACAAAAGCCTGAATCAAGGACCATCTTCCGGTACCACACGCATACATACAACATCGTCGTTGGCTAAAAACGGTCGCCTGTCCAACACACGTACTAGAAAATAGGACAAAGGAACCACCCTCACGTACCCATCTTGCCAGAGACAATTCCAACACGGCAACATGCTCTCAACTCCGAGCGCAAATCACGTGAGAAGTTAAAAAAAAAACAGCCAAACACTTTCGGAGGACAGGACAGACGTGTTCACAGCTCCAAAACGAATCGACTAAACTAATGGCACCAACGAACAAACAAGACACCAACTCACAATAGGACGACCCCAAATCAGAACATATCCAACGGAAACAGATACAATTAACCATGCCACTCACGTAGAAGGCACCAAAGCCTGCAGGATAAGAGCTTCCGCGCCCAGAGCCACGTCCGTCGCGGGCCCCCTCCCGAATATCGCTTGCGCTGCCGCCGCGGGGCTGCTCTCCGCGACCCCTCCAGCAACCTTGGCATCCTCTTTTGCCGTGCACGCTGCCCACGGGTTGTTGCCGTCGTTGCCTTGCCCCGAAAGCTTGTCAGCCAGAGGTGACGCAGCAGCGGCGGCAGCTGCAGCAACAGTCTTGCCCTTGGGCTGCTTTCCGCCCCCTGCTGCCAGGTGCTTGACCCCGATGGTCTTGCCTCCGACCACCGCCTTTGGCCGTTTCCCCTTGCCGCTGCTTGCGCCCGCTCCGCCGCTGCCGCCGCCCCCCGTCCGGGTGCCTTCGTCCTCCCCGTGCTGTGCAAGATAAGACGTAAGACAGACACGGAGGGGACAAGCAGAGTGATGAAACGCTGCTCGTGAGGACACGGATCACAAAACGCCGGCTTTCTTTGTGTGGCCTCAGAGAAGAAGGTTGAAGGGATGCCCATCTGGGTTTACCTTGGCTTGTATGCGTACAGGCGCTCCAAATGATACGCAAGAATACATCTTCCGTAGATGAATATGGCGTGCCCCACATGGGCAGTACCCTGATGACGGCACCTGTCTGATCTGACTCGTCTTTTGGAATGGACACGACCTCACAAGTGACAGGCAAGTGGACACCCGCAACGTAAAACTACAACGCACATGGAATGCCTTGCTTGTCCAACCTCGAACAAAAGAAGAGAAGCAACCTGCCAAAACACCACTCGTCGTCAAGTCATAACCTAACCCGGACGGACTACAAACACTCAACCGGCACAAGCAGCAAATCACCGAAAAAGATGCACAGTAGTGTTGCAAGAGGTCTTTGCATCCAACAAAAAAAACACCACACACCCGAGTCGACAGGTTTTATACGCAACATCCAGGGCAAACAAAGCACCCCTCCCATCTACCCAGCTCACCGTGCCCCCATCGCCATGAGCAGCAGCGGCAACAGCACCCTTAGCAGACTCCGCCCTCCTAGCTGCTTCCACCACGGCTTCCCATACCGACGCCATCCACACCCCTCGGCTTACCTGACAAGGTAATAGGGTCATCAAAAAGGCATGTCGCGCAAGGTCATTTTAGATGGGGCGTGCCAAGATCGTTCTAGAACAGAAGTCGTAAAGATAGAAGGTATCGTGCTGTTCTCCTTCGCGCGACAGGCTGTTTGGCGTGCTTGGGGTGGGGAGAAGAGATGCAACAGTCAGATAAAAGACCAAGCAGTTTTGCAGGAACGCCGTCGGTACCACGGGAGCGGCGTTAACAGCAGCAGCCATCGACCGTCCACACTCCTCCTTACCACAAGGCCACCAGCGTGCCTCGCTTCCACGTGCAAGGAGCACGCCGTAAGCACCTACCGTACGATTCTAGCACCAGCAGCCGGGATGGAACGCTAAAAAGAGAACAGCGCGAGTGACGTACATGCCTCCGAGCAACGCGGAATGCTCTTGTTTTCCGGCGTTGGGAAATGAGGCACAGGAAGGGTGGCAGGAGCAGCGCTAAGCCTTCCACACAAGCGTTTACGCGTGAGCTTTTGTCGTTCTGCGTCGAGAACACTGCCGTCATTAGTAGCAAGCCTCCTATGCATCGCGGTCGATTTTCGCCAAAAGGGAAACACACGAAAAACAAACACCGTACAGAAACACACAGCGTTCAACAGCCTCGTTGTAGGTTCTTTGCAACTTCTGGAGAGGTGTAACCCTTTCTGGGTAGTTGGCCTGTCACCACGGAAGGCGTTCGCGTCCGTCGGACCCGCACGGATAGAAAGTACCACGTGAGCGAAGGCTGGCCGTTTGTTCACGTCTACACAACAACAACAACAACAACAACAACAACAACAAGCGCACACGAAACACAAGCTTACCTTGAGCCTGACGCGCTTCACGCGAGGCTTAACGAGCGTCACGGACCCCGGTGGAGGAGGCGGCGCAACCCGAACCGGTGACGGTTCCCCCGCATCCCCGTCGGCGGCGGAATCATCCAAACCGACCCCCACCCCAGGCTTTTCCTCGACGCTCCCCGGCGACAGCAGCAGGAGAGGCGGTGTTGGTGATCGTTTCGGGGCGCTAGTGGCGATCGACGCCGCGCTAAAAACAGCGGAGACGCTTTTCGGGCTCTTCTTTTCGGGAAACAGGTGGTGGCCGCCGCTCGCTGTTGCCTGCAGCGGCGGCGGCGGCGGCGGCGGTCGTAGCCCCGCCTTGTCCCCCGGGACGATGATGGTCAAGCGGCGGTCCGAAGAACGGTCCGAAGAACCGTCCTGACCACGGTTAGGGCTGTCACTTCGACCAAGCTGCTGTGGCTGGTGCACAGAGCCCTCAGACGAATCCCGAGCATCGACAACATCAACAGCATCGGCTGCACCATCCGCCGCGCAGCTGTTGCTTCCGCTCCGGCTCTTACCTCGGCTCGTGCCAGCACCAGTGTTCGCACCGCTGGCGATGTAACTGCCGTCGCTCGCGAACCGCTCCCCCTGCCCGGGGCCCTGCCCGAGCCCCGGCGGGTGGTGCGTGCCCTTCGGACAGATACCCTCGCCAAAAGGTTGCAGCAGCGTCGTGCCTACAGAAGGGTTTCCTGCGTCCAAGGCATTGCCTCGAAGGTCCTGGGGCACCGGCGGGAACGTACGTATGATGGGGGGGGGGGCGGTATTCTCATGTTTTGCATGCCGAAGCGGTTAGACCATTGACCACGCGTCGTCGAGAGGACGGAGCTTGTTCCCACAGGACCGATCACCAAGGGCAATCATTCCTTGCTTCCTACTTTGGCAACAAAGGTGGCTCAAAGATGTTTTCCATAGTCTAACTATCATATCGACATCACGTCCCGCCTTTTCAACCCACTTCCTATGCCTCAGACAGCTACACAGCTACCGTCTTCTCCTGGCTATTCCATGCCTCAAACATCTCCCCGTATCTTCCTTCTACTTTTCCCAGGTCAGTCACATACACTTCCTTCTCTTTTGGGGGGGCGGCGTGCTAATAAGCATGCAATATACAGTATTCATCAGACCATAGACCTGGCATGCGGGGTTGGGGGCGGGTTGGTATTCAACACACAACGTTATGTTCATAGCAGCAACTACGCCATTGACGACGCATCATTCTCGAGACGGAGGCCCGGTCCCGTTCATGAAACCGACACCGCCGACACATTCAGGAACTCTCGCCGTTTCTTCTGCATCGCGCTTAAAGGGGTGTATGCCTGCCGCGACTGTATGAATCCCCTGGACCCCGGGGGCACCTCGCAATTCCGACAAACCATGGCCCCCGAGGGAGTGGGGTGCGGGGGACGGGGAAAGGCTGATCGTGCTCTCGACGGAGCTAGGGGGAGCGGTACCAGGAATTAAGGAGACACGAGACGTGTATTGCTGCTTGGGTGCTGTGGTCGGTACTCTCGCGCTTCAAATACAACACGCTTCGATCGCGTCGGTTTCTCGTTTCCGTCCGACAACAGAGCACATGTGCCCCGCGCACAACTGCTGCACGGACCTTGCAGCAGCGGTGTCTACTCAAAGCAACCTAACCACACGAAAGGGAGGACAGACTCACGTGGATCTCTGCGATAACGGTCCCTGCCTCTTGCATCACCTCCGGAAGCGCCCACATGAGTGCCAGGGGAAACCGGCCGTTGTCAAGATCCAGCATGATCTGACGGTTTCAAAATTTCAGCGCCAAGACGGGGGCAAGAACGTTCCTGTTGGGAAATTCGACGGTTTCTGGACTGTATGCTAGGTGAGAGCAAACACGCCCCGTCCGGGGGAGAGGGATAAGAACCGCGCCGTTGCGGAGGGATTTGTAGTAGCTGAACATTGGATTCCAGATGAGCACCACAAAAAACAAACAGACAGCGCCTACAATATATAGTGTCCTGCATCTAGCGTTAGCATGTCTCGCACAGCAGATGAAGGTTCTCACTGATGCAATCGACGACACCAGCCATGTATTAACACGTTAACGTGCCCCACCCATCCCGACGACGTTTAGCATGTCTCGTGCACACCTCACCGACATCAACAAGGCCAGAAAAAATTACGTATCTCACAAACGCAGTTGAGCTTTTGACCCACCTGTCTCGAGGCAAAACAGTACTGTAGGTTGGCCGTCTTCTTGTGTCCGTCACCGTGCCGTAGCCTCTCCGTAGAGATCGTCCGGATTCTCCAGCAGGTGGGGAGGAGTTCGATGACCAGAGGAGGCCTCTTCTCCTTCAACCGTGCGACAATAGCCAAAGCACAACGATACTACATGAGTTTTGGTCGGGCGCGGGAGGGGGGGGGTCTTGATCCTCATACTCAGGCTTTGACCATGCAGTATAATACCACGAGGTGTTTTGTCCTCTTCCCCTTTGTGGTTTCTCACTTGTTTGCACATCGGACTAGACACCACATTCATCCTGTGCATATTGTTTCGGTAAAGCCGCTGTGTATGTAGCTACCGCTCAACACAGAAAATGAAGCGTGTGCAAGGATGGAGGGGGCGGGGGGGCGGGGAATCCCTTTTGGTACCGGCACAATCGATTCACGAAACACACTTCACCTTTTTCGGCGTCTTCGGAGTGCCCTTGGCGTTCATGAAGCACGCAGGCTCAACTCCGGCGAGTGCCTCCTGTTAAAGCGGGGCAATCGAACGGGGCCACATCACGAGCGGGGAAACAAAAAAAAGGCGATCAAGAGCAGCAGTGACGAGGGGGCGACCAGAGGAGGCCCGTGGGGCGAGGCATCAACAGCGGGAGGGGGGATTCAGAGCGCAAGCGGCACGGCAGGTTCTGCACGAGTTGCCCCTTACACCCACAAGCTTGTCGGTGGGAATGGTGGGAATGGCAGAAAAGGGCACAACGCAAACACCGGCTACAAAGTCTCACTTCGTGTTAACACCCGCATATGTACATGGTAGCAGTCAGCATGGCGTACTAGTGTCACAATACACCCATCCTCGAAAATAAGGGACGGGCATGCGCAGTCAGCGGTCAACTGCATCCGGCGAGCACAAAACCAAGTACGGGCACGGCATTGAATAGTCCTTGACATGAAGGTTTCACTCTCTTCGGCCGTTCGGTTTTATACACGACCAAACACCCCTGGCCAGCCGTCAGAAACGGAGAACAAAACTACGGACGGATATGTATGTGTATCCCGATCCAATCTGGCGAAGGCAACGATGAGAAGCCTTTAGACGTTGAACCCCGTAACGTTTATCATGGCAACAGAAAAACACGTGATACCTCAAACCGAAACTCGATTTGAAAGTCGGCCAAGGGAACGGAATGGCTGAATCCTTGAAGGCCACCCGCGAACAAAAAAATCATGAGTGGCCTTCCTGCTGCATCACCCGGGATGGTGCGGCCGACAACGGCAGACACGGAGAGGTGTCAGCCTCGACATCAAGAATCAATGGCGTGGAAACACACACATACACACACGTTGTTTCTTCCCCACTACTCTCTGCACCTGATCCGCCTCCCTCTGCTCGCCCACAGCCTGCCGGGTGACCTTCACAACCTCCAGCAGATCGGCCTCGTGATCTATTCGCCTCCGCAAACGTGCCCGCTTGTGGTGATGCCGAGAGGGCGACAGCTCATAGCGGCCCAATCGGTCACTTTTCGGCGTACCCGTTCCCGAAGCGGAAGACAAACCCCTTCCTCGGCCATCTGCGGGGCCCCCTCCACAGACAGGAGGCGAGACGGTTTCACTGTCATTGCCAGCGGCATCGGTGATTGCTCTCCGTCCACCACCGCTGAGGCCCGAAAAAGAAGCGTGTCCGTTATCACCACCACTGCTGCTGTCTGCGTCTTCTGGGTCGATCTCTTCATCGAAATACAAGGCCGTGAAGCGAGAGATCGGTCCCATCACAAACGACGATGCCACCTGCTGCTGCTGCTGCTGGTGCTGCTGAATCTGCCGGGTCTTCGAACCGCAAGGGCGTTGTTTCACGCCCGTACAGCTTCGGTGCCCGCCTTCTCCATCCCTCCGCCCCCCCTCCCCCCCCGACGTGTCGATTCTCAATCCTCTACTGCTGTCGGTATCTCCCACAGGAGAACCCACACCCCTGCTGCTGCTGCCGCTATCGCCACCGGTAATCCTGCTGCTGCTGTCCGAGCCGTCGTGTAGCCGGGCGACCGGAACCGATTCACGAAAGCAAGAGACACGTCTGCTCACGGACCAGCCCCGGCGGCGTTTTCGGGTTAGCGCCGCAAGCGGGGATGCTTCGCTAACGTCCCCGGGGGCGGCGGCGCTACGCCGCGGGGGCAGCTTGAACGCGACCTTAATAGCAAGAAAGAAGACACACGGGTTGATTCGGAGGACAAACACGTCAAGAAGACCATCGGGATACATAGGGTGATGATGGCCGTCACTGATGTTGGATGATTCTGTTAGCAGTCGTTGGAAATACAATCTGTCGGATCGCCAACGCGACAAGAATCGTTTCTCTGCCATTGTCCGTGTTCTTGCCGTGCCCGGCACAAGGGATAGGAGCGCCGTCGAGAGCACCCAAAACAGGTCGGCTACAACCACCAGTATCGCGTGGCTTTCCCTACTGGAAGCATCCCCTACTCCAGGAGACACCCCTTATACAAACATGCCATGAGTTCAGGTATATTACAGTTTTTGTTGTTTCGTGGTGAGAGTGGCCACCACCGCCACCGACGGCGCTCGCGACAAAACAACCTTAGAAAGATGGCGGCTACTCCGCGGCAGAAACGTTTAGCCGTGTGATCACATCATCCCCTACGGACAGTCAGTTCACAGCCAGAAGAACGTACCGACGACTGACGTCCAAGACCACTTCTACCCCGGCCAACAACGACGGAGCATACAGGTAACATAGGCCGTGCAGGCGAAGTTGCGACCGTTACTCTGCGACATGCCTGCCCTGAAGGTGAAAATTACCGTCATGGGTACGTGCTTTGTATGCTTCGCGAGCCAAGCCAACTGCCGCAGCACAAAAGACGGTTGCGTACGTATAGTCTCACCTTCGATCGCTCTCGCACGGCGGCAACACGGCCGCCATCATCACCAGCTGAATCAACACCGCCAGTAGCGGAATCACAAAGCGGTTCCACAACTTCGTGCCAAGTCCCTCCCGTCCCTCTCCCCCCGGCATGCCCAGCAGCGTTACTGCTTTGTCGCTGGGTGACCGTGCGCGGGAGAAAGCAGCCGGCGGCCGGGGCGGGTGTCGGAGCTGTCTCCTCCGCCACCGATGCCGTAAGCTTCAGGCTGCTGCCGCAGCTACTTGTCGATGTCGTCCTTGCTCCGTTAGCAGCATCTGCTGCAGCACCGACATCTTTAGCAACTCCCGCACCAACGCCACCATTAGCGGCTGCTTGTCTGTCCGCTGGGTCCTCCATCGTCCACCCCTCGTGGCTCCTCGGTGGCGCCGGCGTGCGACACCGCCAGCACCCCCAAGTCTCCCGTTTTCCTCCGCTTGCCGAAAATGGTTCTCTTATCCGGAATACCGCCGGTATGGCTAGAATATCCGTGGAAGACAAGCCCCGTACTCACGTTTCTGCGGCTGACAAGCCCCGTACTCACGTTTCTGCGGCTAGGCTTTCGCACACAGCTGTCACTTGCGCAACTTGTCTGCCGCTTTGCTCACCCCCTCGACGCCCCTGCCCCGTCTCAGCCCCACAAGCCCTTATCGATACATCCTTGTGTAAGCTCCCGCCGTTCTGGTCCCCGCTGCGAGCGCTGAAACATGCACAAGTCAAGAGAGAGAGAGAGAGAGAGAGAGAGAGAGAGAGACACACACACACACAGACAGACCGGTGGTGTTCTACTGAGGAGGACATTCAATTTTTCCGCCGCCGGCGGAAGCGCCAGCAAGTTTCGACCGCACGAAAAATACCTGGCTACATACCGGTGGATCAGCAACAACCATGTAAGCGAAGTGAGCGGTTGGTTGCGCTCACGGCGCCTCGATCATTTCCAGAATTCGGCAATCTTTCCACAGCAGAGGATCCAGCAAAAAATGTGTTCGTTTCACGCCTTTTCAACTGCCCAGCAGTATTGTACATGTACCGACTCGACAGCAGTGCAGGAGAGGGGCACCTGTGTGTCCGGGCCAAGAAATTCAGCCGGTTCCGATACCGTATGCAGGAATCAATGCGTGTGTCTTACGTGTTTCTGGGAAGTGTCTACATACTAGATAAACCTGCTGTGTCGTCCGAGTGGCTGCGCGAAAAAAATTACTGCTGTGTGAAGAAAAAGCGGAAAAACATTAGCCTCCAAGAAAAAAAAGCACTGCTGTTGTTTGTACCACGATACATTATCGATGCATGTGAATTCTGTGCAAGTTGTGTGTGCATGTCTTTCTGTTGAAATGTTGCAATGAAACAGAAAGCTGATGCTGGTGTGGCGTACCGCGCACCGGTGCGGGCCAATGAGTGGGGTCGTCGGCATCAAACCGGTGCAAGATCGACTAATACCTGCTCCGCGTCCGCGGTCTGCTCTACCCCCTGCCACAAGATCGCATTTGTTGTGCTACAACAGGTACATGTAGTTGGCACACAGCACACAATTTCGTTCAGCTGCTTCGTCGTCGAGACCCCGCGTCAAAGCTAAAATAGAACCTCCCAAAGGGGGACAAAACCGGAGGTTGACCACAACGATCTACACAATGGACACGCAAGAGGGAGGCTTGCAACTGGACCGCTACCGCACGGCGGGAGGGCTTCAAAACACGCCGCACAAGCAGTGTGCCCACAGCAGTGGCGTCGACGGCCTCCGAAGGGGAGACCGACAGAGCTGGCGCCCAAACTCGCCAAACTTTAACACAAAGTTCCCGCCCACGTCGAGCAGCCTTTCCCACCCGCCCGTTCTTCTTGCCAGGGTATTAAGGGATAGAAATCACCGGGGTGGTTGAATAAGGAAGGCAGTGGGAGCTACGGTGATCTGTTCTTAGGGCAGTGGTTCAATCGGAGTGCCGTTGTTGGTGCCCACCGAGCGATTTCTGGCGACATGGTTGCGGAGGGAAAAAATGCAAGGGAAAGATTTGGAGCGCGGGATTGAAAACAATTGAACACCAGCCGGGCGGAGGCAGGGCCTTCTTCTCTCTCTCAATCCCTCTCTCGACTTCTTTCTTCCTCTCTCTCTCTTGTGTCATGACGACGGCGGGGCTAGCCCCTGTTCGCATGCCGAAACAGGAATAATAGTGTGTGTGTGTCGGTGAGTTGCTTCAACTGGTCCGTTTTGTGTTCGAACCCTTCCCGCGGGAACATGGCGGGCAAAACAGATCGAATCCTTCCAAGCTGCCCGCGGGCGACCTCGACCATAGATGCCGACCAAAACTCACCTGTGGGTGGGATGTGGACTGCTGGGAAGCGACCCAGAGAGAGCGACAGAGAGGCAGCGAGCGGGTTTTCCTGTTTTCGAGCACGGAGACCATCGCACGTGTTAGGTTGGGGCCCCGCGGAATGTACAATGTACCGTCAATATTATTCCACGGAGCCGCCATTGCATGAGAAATGTCGCCGATCAAAGTCAATGCGTGCCAGAGTGGCCAGGCTTGGCCAGCACAGCACACCTCATCTCCGCGCGGTCACTCAGGGGGCGTGTAGAAGCATATGGCTATGTATGCACAATATTTGCGCGGGCGCAAGGCGCTACCGTTGGTGGTTAGAACCATCAACAGCCGTACTAGACTGGTGGCACCGGCAGCTGCATCAGACCGTTACGGGGCAGCTCGCAGCTCCAGCGGCAGCTCGGCAGGACTAGGACTGGGGTTAGGTTTAGCCCTGACCCTTGCCGCGTGGGATGACCGTAGTACCTGCGACGGAGAGAAAATCGTCTGGGTGGATGCTCACGGAAAGAAGGTACTGCTGTAGGCTGACACGCTGACACAGACAAATTGCGTACCACGTGCACCCAGTCGTACTGCTGCTGTAACATCAACTTGCCAACCTAGAGCGGAGATCTGCTGTTGTGTGCATAAGACTACACATGCACGATGCTTTTGTCCAACATGTACAACGGCGTTTGATCCGTGCGGGTGGTACATGTGCATGCAGCAGCATCATGCAGCATAGTCGAGGCATGTGAAGACGACTAATCATGGTGTAGATGGATCAAGACGCGCATTATTTCAGTCTTTGCCCGTATAGACGTTGCAGCTCTAATAGATATAGCATGGTCGTCCCTCGATGTTCCATCTCTTGTCAACGCAGCTGCTGTGCGCATCGTCGTGCCTCTGGAACTCCGTCTTCGCGCACCGCCAGGTTGCTCTCCCCACTACCGCACGCAAAAAAAAAACAAAACATGTCGACGGATCGCCCCAACACTTGTTAGTGTGCATCACGTGTGCATATCGATGATCCGCGGCCATCGCAACCCTTTTCGTTTCGACACGTTTATTCCAACGCACGACGTTCGTCCTCTGCCGGCGGCAACCAATTAGGTGGCGGTTCACCAAAAAGGACGACCGCATTCCCCCGAAGAGGCGGGCCAATCAGAGCTCTCCAAGCCGGACAGGTAGGGCCGGTATTGGTGCACTGATGTCAGTCGATGCCGCCACCAACAAAACACTACTTTGGGCGTTGTCGCTACTGGTGTTGGCACGTAAGCACTGGTCCGTCATACTCCGTGTTGGTTCGTGACGAAGCTTGATGCCGGTGCTGCTCCTGGTGTTGGTGCTCAATTTGGTCCTGGCAGTGAAGAACGCGTAGCCCCGTCTGCCGGGGTATTCCGGAAGTTTCGACACTGACCCGCTCGTGTGACTTGGATAGACATCGCCTCGCAAAGACTGTGTCCTGCGCAAATCCAATTGCCGGCAACCGGAAACGCGCATGTGTATGTGTCAGGTAGCTTGTTCGCCATTCCTGAGGTAAACCGCCCCCTGCCACAACGTCTAACCGCTAAGGCATGCAAAACATGAGTACACCCCCCCCTGCCGCCGCGTCCACGACCACCGCTTTCACGCGTAAGGTACTTTCCGTACGTGATTCTGGGGTACGGGGTGGCAGGAAGAGCCGCCCTCGCCGCCCTTCTAGAGCGCGACCCTTTGGCCAAGGTGCTGGTGGTGGATGCTCGTGCGGACGCAAGACTAAACGCTCCCAACTTTCGTACGGACAGCAGAGGTGGTGGTGGCGGTGGCGGCATAACATCAGCGTGGATGTTGAGGAGGGGAACCGCCGCTGCTTCTTCGGCGGGTGCAGGGGTTAAGTTCGCAGCAGGGGCGAGGGCGATCGCCCTCAACGCCGACCTTGGACAGGTGATACTCTCGTCGCTACGGCCGCCACCTCTGGCTTCTGCAGCCGCTGAGCTTTCAGAGAAGGGGGTCCCTAGACGCAACAGCACCACAGATACACTAGAGTCCGCACCAAATTTAACGAGGGAAAGCGGGAGGGTCCAAGCAGCAGCGGCATTGCCGCGAAAACAGGAAGTTGTGGCGTTCGGGCGTTGCCTGGTGGCGCTGGGGTCGAGGCCCAGACCACCACCCCCGGGGTTCATCGACCCCGCAGCGAGGGGGCACGTGACGTTGCTGGGGTCGAGAGAAGGGGCCGGAAGGGAGGGGTTGAAGAGAGAGGTGGCTGCTGGGCGGGCGGTGACGATCGTGGGGTCCTCCTGGCAGGCTTTGGAGCTGGCGTGCTGGATCCAGGAAGGGCGAAGCGGTGCTGCTGCTGCTGCGGCGGCGGCGGCAGACAAAGTAAGCTTGCTCGGGCGGTTGGAGGATTTTTTTGTTTGTGTGGTTTCGTTTGTGGAGGGAGGTTGTTGCCAATGAGTTGTTCAGCTCTGCCGTTCGCGTGTTGAGCTGCTGCCCTGCGCTTTGGAAAGCTGGTCTAGCCCGTCCTTGTTCGAGGTAAGCAAGATAGAGCTGCGGCAGGGCGGAATAGTCCCCCCCCGCCCCTAGTGCTGTGAGAGCCTAGTCCGGTGAGAACCCGGCGTGCTCCGTCCCGGCTTTGTAGGGATGCGAAGTCAATGGTCTAACGACTACGGCATGCACGACTATGAGTACACGCCCCCCCCCCTAGTTGTCCCCCCCCCCTCGGCCTTGTTTGCCATCGGGGTTTGGGTTTTCGTCGCTTGGCAACGACGTTGTAAAACAAGCCGCCCCCCCCGGTGTTTGTCATCGGGGTTGGGTTTTCGTCGCTTGGCAATGACTTTGTAAAACAAGCCCCCCCCTCGGTGTTTGCCATCGGGATTGGGTTTTCGTCGCTTGGCAACGACGTTGTAAAACAAGCCAATTCACTTCGTGAACTCGGCAACCAGGTTACCGTTTTTTTTTTTTACCTCGTTTTTTTTTTTTGGCGGTAACCATAATGGTGGTCGAGTAGATCATGTTGTGCGGGTCGAGAACCCTCACTCCGCGCAACGGGGGATGATCGCACCACGTTGTGTTAAAATGGTCAAGCATCCTCGAGGCAGTTACACAGTGCTTACAACTGTCTCTGGAAGTGAAAGCACCAGAAAATAAATTATGTCATACGTAGCTGTCATCCGTACGCAAGGAAGTACGCACAAGATGCCGAACACCCTTAGCAGGATGCAGCTCGCCCTTCATGCGACTCGCCAAATACCTCACGGCGCTTCGCGCTTGATGATGTGAGAGCCTGGTCCGGTGAGAACCCGGCGTGCTCCGTCCCGGCTTTGTAGGGATGCGAGGTCAATGGTCTAACGACTACGGCATGCACGACTATGAGTACACCCCCCCCCCCCCCCCCCCCCTAGTACCAACGGGAGGTTCGCCCGTTTACTTGCGATCAGAACACAAAAAAGGAGGTCAAACGATAAATGTCGACATGACGCATTGCTTGAAGGCGACAACATCGAGAGCGGCAACAACGACACCAACGACCCAGAACAAGAGAAGAACCTGTACATGTCAACAGCACCCATGGTTCGCGCAGTGTGCGCCGTCTCGTGTCCGCAGAGGTAGAGCAACGTTGTGTCGGAAAGGTCTGAGCAAGACGTTTAGTTCACCCCGCCGTCCTCGACGCCAGCTACATCTATATATACTCCTCAGCACAAGACAACATACTAGCGTGACCTTACTCCCCGTCGCCCGTGAACTTGTTCCGCCATCAGGGGTCCGGGGGAGGTGCGGGAACCTGCCGCATGGTGTTCTCCGACTACGCCCCTCTCGACCACATCCTGCCCCGTTACCTCTCGGTTGCCCTCCTGCGCCGCCTAAACCGAAAGCACATAAAGACCGTGGGACACAGCTCGTTGCGGTGGGTGGGACCCGCGAACCAGCGAGCTTTCACTCCGCCGCCACCTCCACCGTCGGAGCTGGATTCCGGACCCTTGACGATAGACGGGGGCCCCGCGGATGAGATAGACGGCGAAGTTCCCGCTGCGGGACCGGGACCTGTCGTGTTACCGCGGACTTTGTCCGCCACAGGAGCAAGCACACACGAAGAAGAAGCAGCAAAGGGGGATGCGAGCTCGTCTCAGCAGCAGCAGAGACGGCAGCGGCGGCTGCAGGTGATGACCGCGCACTCATTCGACCACCTCGACACGGCCACCCACTCCACGGACACGGTCGTGCTCGCCGGCGTGGTGAGTCCCTGTCGCTATTGGGCCAGTCGGCGGTAAGGCGACTTTCTTGATTATTGTGCTGGCGGTGATAGTGGTGGTGGTGGTGTCGGTAGTTGTGCTCGTGGCTTCGCCTCTGGCTTCATGACGGGTCGTCACGTGGCGCTCTTGGGTGCTGCGAGCAGATTTTGAGATGAGGACAACAAGAGACCTGCGGTTGTCGCATCAGTCATTCTTCCTCAGAGTTCTATCAGAGTTCTAGCGGTTTACTTGTGCTGCCGTTCTCGCTTTTGCCAGCAGACGAACAAATCCAAAGCACAACCATTCTCCTCCACCCCTCCCTCCGGGCTTCCGCTGTATTCGCGTTTTTTTTTTCTCCGTGCCCCCCCTTCCCTGTTGAGAATCCAGGACGTGGCCCCCTTGGACGTCACCCTCGACCTCCACGGCACCGACCGCGGCGGGAGCGGAGACCGTTTCGGCAGGAAGGCCGCTGCCCTAGAGGTGGACAGAAGGCGGGGCGCGGTCGTCGTGAACGCGGAGCTGGCCGCGTCTTCGCGAGTCTGGGTGGCCGGCGACGCGGCCTGCTTCCCTTCCCAGGCGCACGGCGGGCGGCGCCTCGTGATCCGATCGGCCGACCACGCTCTCCACAGCGGGAGACTCGCCGGGGAGAACATGGCAGTGGCGTCGGGGGCTGCAAGGGCTGGGGTTGGGGGCAATGAGGGGGGTCGGAGATATCGACACACCCCAGCGTTTGTCGGGGAGGCGCCCTTGGCGGGGGTTAGGGTCGCCATGCTCGGGGAGTGCGACGCGTCTATGCCGACCCATGGCTTCTGGTGAGAGTTGAGCTGGAAACAAGGGGTATGCTTGTCTGGTACTTGGTTGAACCAAGTTGTTGTGTTTGAAACGCAGCTGCCGCGTGCGACATGTTATGTTGCGCGGGTGATGACATGGCAGAGTTGCGGTGCTTCTCCGACGTGTGCTTTGGGGTTCTACAAATTCTGCAAATTCTGAAAATTGGTCGGATTTCGCAACATGCGTGGCGAAAGGTGCTGCCATGTATTCAGCTTCTTTGAGGATCGACGTGATTTTGTGGACATGTTTTCTCTCTAGCAGCTGCAGGACATTCTTTTCCTCCGCCACTCTAAGTAGGCCGGGCTTGATAGCGATATAGCTAGCCTTTTCTTGTTGTGATCGTGCGTCTCTCTTGGCTTCCTCTTGTGTTCCTCCGGTCTGTAGCCCGAGCCACCCTCTATTCTCAATGCAGCATTAAACCGTTATGTACAAACGTGCCATCCGGATGTCAAGGACCGAGTCTCAGCACACATGGACGCAATATAGGCAGAGTCGTCTGACAGGTCAGACAGGCAGGACAGCTACGGTTGTTCAAGGAGTTGCTGGAGGACCGAGGGCATCGCGCAATCGAAACAAGTTTTTCTCCGGAATACTGTTTGCTATCCTTGCTTCTTGTCGAACATCAATTCTTAAGAGATATCGTTTGCGGACACATCAGGTGGACCAACAGTGCGACCGGGCTATCAAGAAAAAACACGGTCGCCCCCGGCGGCAGCAGCAAACGGCGTGACGCCTCAAACAGGCGTCGCACGTTCACCAAACGCAGCACACGAGGTGGTGCCGCCGCCGCCGCCACCGCCGCCGCCGGCACACGACGACGCGCCACCGACCACCCGGAAGACGGGCACCAAGAGGAGGAGGAAGAGGACGAGCACGGCGGGGTTACCCTGGTGAGCCGCAGCACCGCGCGTAAGGAGTTCACCCCTGTGTTTGGAACCGGCGTTGTCTTCTATTGCAGAGGGTCGGAGGTCAAGGGGGCGATGCTCTGGGGTTTCCCTGGCGAAGCGACGGCGGCGGCGGCTGCGGCGGCGATTGGTGGACCGGCGGCAGCCCCGGGGGTTTCCGTGGAAGGAGGGATGGGGGAAGGCGGAGGTTCGCCGACACCGGCAGCGGATGCGGCCGCGGGAATCTCGGCCCGCGCTCTCGATCTGCTGAGGACGATCATGGAGCGGAGCTCCAACATGGAGGCGGACTTGTCCAACGAGAGAGTGGTGCAGGCGTGGCTTCAGGGATTGTCGGACGCGGCCAGGGTGGTCGCGCAGGAGACGGGCGTCGGGCACCTTGCCCCCATGAGAAGGTGGGTCTAACACAACAGACACCGTAGGACACCCTCCCTCGTCGGCGTGTTAGCACGCTTGGTGCGTCTCGGGAACCCGGCTCGTGCTTTCGCAACCGCGGGTGCCCTGCTGCAGGGTTGGAGCGGACGCCATGGGAATGCGACACCCGTTCTTGGACAGTAGTTTGTGAGATGCTCCCTTAATTTCGTACTTGAACCGTGGCAGCGAACCGGGACGGAAACACGCGACTCTTTCCCGCAACAGACGCTACGTTTCTTGTTGGGGGAGGGGCAGGAGGTCAGGTGGGGCCGGGCAGCGCGCGGTAAGATGTGAAGGAGCGATGCCAGAAAACAGGTGTTGCCCGACTTGGTCGTACTAAACAACACCGTTGCAGGGCGAAAACGCCTAACGTGGACGTACGTTTGCGCGCCAGCTATAAGGGGGGACAGGTAATGATTAACAATATGGTCAAAGCCGATTGTCTGAAAACCTTAAAATCGTTTATCCCGCAGGCTCCACCTGCCTTTTTGTCATGCTCTGCCCGTAAGCACTCTGTCAACTAGGCCCAAGAGGTGTCAGTGACGAACACAGCAGTGGTACCCTTTCCCTTCCCTCCTCCAAGATTTCGCTGCGGGCCGAGCCACCTCGATAAGTACAACAACAGACCAGTGTTACCCGCCCCCGCGTATCCTCCCGCCCCCCCCGGTGTTTGCCATCGGGGTTGGGTTTTCGTCGCTTGGCAACGACGTTGTAAAACAAGCCCCCCCCTCGGTGTTTGCCATCGGGATTGGGTTTTCGTCGCTTGGCAACGACGTTGTAAAACAAGCCAATTCACTTCGTGAACTCGGCAACCAGGTTACCGTTTTTTTTTTTTACCTCGTTTTTTTTTGGCGGTAACCATAATGGTGGTCGAGTAGATCATGTTGTGCGGGGTGGAGAACCCTCACTCCGCGGAACGGGGGATGATCGCACCACGTTGTGTTAAAATGGTCAAGCATCCTCGAGGCAGTTATACAGTGCTTACAACTGTCTCTGGAAGTGAACGCACCAGAAAATAAATTAAGTCATACGTAGCTGTCATCCGTACGCAAGGAAGTACGCACAAGATGCCGAACACCCTTAGCAGGATGCAGCTCACCCTTCATGCGCCTCGCCAAATACCTCACGGCGCTTCGCGCTTGGTGATGTGAGAGCCTGGTCCGGTGAGAACCCGGCGTGCTCCGTCCCGGCTTTGTGGGGATGCGAGGTCAATGGTCTAACGACTACGGCATGCACGACTATGAGTACACCCCCCCCCCCCCCCCCCCCCTCAAAGATCTGTGGCAGGCAGAGTCACCTCGTCTACTCGAAGACCACCCGGCACGAGGGACGAGTTGATGTACCAGAACACCTCCAAGACCAGCAGCGAGCAGCGCCGCCTGAGGGCTGCCTACGCGGCGCGAATCAGGTAGGGTAGGCAGATGGATATCATGTTTCATGTGTCCCAATGAAGACGCCCTGATGTGCGATGAGCCATTCGTCCAGTTGCGTGTCGCTTTGGGCCGCTGCAGTCTCCGCGGTGTAGTCGCGAATGGGGGTCTGTTCAATGTTGCTACGTTCGAGCGGTGGGTAGTTTCCTGTTTAATTTAGCCTTTTCTTGTAACCTACCGTTGGGCTGTAGCTTGCGGCCCCCAGCACAGAGTATGTCGTACAGGCAAAAGGCAATAATAATCTTGATAGTGAACATGACGGCAACAACAACAGCGGCAGCAACAACAGAGGCATGGACACCGATGTGCATGCTTCGTTTAAAACAGCGTACAGTTATTTGAACCGCTTTTCTTCCGTAGGAATCCGTTCGTCCACAGGTTGTCCATGTAATGGTCCACTGGCTTGTGTCTTCAACTTTTCCATCTACTCGCACAACTACAAAAGCCCATGCTCTATTTACTGTTGCGCCCTGTCATCAGGGGCGTGTCGCCGGCAGACTTGCCACACTTTGGAGCCAGCGGGGCGGAGGCCGGATTCGACCCGGAAATGATGGGCTTCTTGTCGTACGGCGATGTCGACGAAGACTTTTTTGACACAGGGGGAGGGGAAACCGACTCCAATCCTTGACCCTCGATCGACTGCTGCTGTCGATCCAGTACATTGGAAGCACACGCAGTACGCGCATTGGCCCCATTTGTTTATTTTCTGCTCGTGAGCAGCGGTGGTCGATCTGCAACACCCTCGTCTTTTTGTTCTCGAGTTTGTTCTTTCTTCTTTCTTTTGATTGCGTCGATTCTGGAACTCTGGGTGGTCTGAACGCTGTTCGGTGTGTGCGCACAAGCCAATATCACACCGCAGGGGTCCTGTTTCCGGCCGACTAGGTCATATTGTGCTTCAGAACCATCGCCAGAGTTTTCGAGTGAGGTTGCTATAGCGTGTCTCAAGCAGGACAGAAATTGTGGAAGGACGTGAAGGTTGTGAAGTTGGGATTTTCGCCGGAGATGGTATCAATTTTCGGGGTGTAGTGTTTGCGATGCACGTGATGTCTCGCCTCTCTGTGTTGTTGTGCGACACCTTTTTGCTGCCTCGCAAACGGAAGCGATACGCGCGTGGCTCCTCGATCAGTAGCTGGCATGACGCACCCACCTGGTCAGCAGCCACGTTGCGTTGCAACCGAGCCTGAGTAGACGGGCACAGGCGTTGTTCCCCCTGTTCGCATCGTGCGACAACGGTTTTTCTGTCATGGCTCTGTCGTATGTACATGGGTTTGGCCATTGTGCGGGACCCCTTGGGTGGCCCCCCTTCCCCTGACCAATGAATTTGGTAGGGCCAGAGTTTGGGTTTTAGAGTGAGGGTGACGTTGTGGAGGAGGTCTGGGTTGACCATGCTTTAGTGAGTTGTAAATGCGCTCTTAGCCGTTTGTGAGTCCGAACTACCATGCCCATCAATCGAACGCTCTTCCTGGCCGCTCGCTTACCCTCAACAGTATAAGCGGTATGTCTGTTTCCGGTTTCTGGTTCTGAATAAGCGCTACGCCCCGGAGTTCACCTATTTTATTCTCGTCTGGAATTCCACATGTGACGTATCATGTGTGTAACAATGGACGCCGTACCGGTGGCCGCCTTAGGTAGGAACATACTGAATTCGTGCAGCAAGAAGAGTTGGTCGGGCGATATCTAGTGCGGAAAAAGAGGAGGTGCTGCATAGCTGTTGCTTTGCGGGTTTCATTGTGAAAGCACTCACAACCTACTATTATAACGAGAATTGCCTCCATTGGTGGAGCTCGCGTTTAGATGCGTGCGCTCCTTTCTCTGCTACGCTCCGCCCGTTGCTATTCAGCCGGCGGGGAATAGCTACACTGAGTGTAGCTCGCATGTGGCGGGAGAACCCTGACACCACATGAACGCACGTCACGTTGATCCCGGAGCGCCACGATCTCATGCAGGCACGAAGGTGAGAACCGCCTCAGAGGTTTCAGACCACGCCACCCCAGCTTGATCTATAGTAAAGACGACGGGACGAAAATGGCCATAGCCACACTGGGTTGTTCGGAGTTGAGAAACCTACACTAAAACCGGCCTTAGTCCACTCCAAAGTGCTCAAGCTTGGTCCCGCCCAATCCATGCTTCGAGGGAATACCGGTGTCGTGTTGGACTCCGAACAGGCTCACATGCGAAGATTTGGTACCTCAGAAGAATGCCCAACTCTGGCCTGAAGGCAGTACGCAACTCCCTCCCTCGCCCCTTTTACCTACGGCTCGTCACTTCGCTATCAGTTGAAGACTACATGCACGCGCCCTTATTCAACTGCGTTCGACGGAGCATGCACCGCAGGAGGTAAATGGAAACGCGAAGGATACTTCTTTGTGATTGTTTTTTCCCTCCCCCCGCCCCTGTGGATTGGCCCCGGCTGGTGCATCAAACACAGACCGAACAGTGTAGAATCACGCGTAGAACGAACGGGATGAAAACCCACAGCACACACACAAACTGGATTGCCCCACACGGTTTTCGTTCTCTTCCTCCTCTTCGCTTTGTACTCGCCTCCCCCCCGCAAGCAGGAGATCTTTTGGCGCACGTTGTGTCTCTGATGCACTGGATGATGTTGGCACACATTGATTGTCACCCCCACCGAGCCAGAGTCAGATGCTTACGCTCTTTCTGCATTCGTTACGGCAGAGGCACACGCGACAACCGCATACGACGTCTCTTGGTCTTCATTCAGCCTCGACGTTAGTAACTCCTCATGTCTTGGCTCACCCGGGATTCACACAGTTCGCTCACTACCACCCGTATCCCTCTGTACGTTCAACTCCCCCCCCCTGCCTCTCGCCTCCGTTCGAAGCAAAATAGTCCGGCTCGAGATTCAACCCTACGTCGAGCCACGTCGAGGTTCCTGATAGCCAGGACTCTTGGGTCAGTGACTGCCCGAACGCCAAGCGCAGCGACGTCTGCTCCTCCACCGAGACTGAGCTAGGAAAGCTCGTCGCCGATTTCGCCTGTGTGGCAGTCGTCTCCCCATTGGAAGCAGCGGACCCCGAAGCGTCACAGAACGATCCGCCCCCCCTAGCGGCACCGAAAGCGAAGTGGTCGCGCGCCGAGTTCGTTTCTTCGACGTGCGAGGCTGAAGGGCGGTAGGCGAAGTCCAGGCACACGGGTACGCCGACGATGACGCCCTTAGGACCCCTCAGCTTCTTTTCGAAACGGCCGTTCGGCTGGAGAATCCCTCCCGATGTTCTCACCAGTGGCCGCACGGTTGGGGGCGGCGGGATGTAGCCGCCCTTCCTCTCTGACAGGTGCGGATTCGACTTCGACGGCTTGGGCGGCGGTGGACCGCTCGGTTTTGCGGCCGGCGAAGTAGTAAGTCCTCTGGGTGTCACCGATGATTGTTGAGTGTGACCGCTGTGCGGCGGCTCGTTCTTGATGCTCGCACTCATTGCCAATTGCTGGGGTAAGTGATCCGCTTCCGGCGAGGGAAGGGGCGGGGAAAGGCCATCACTGGGCGATGGCGCTCGCTGCAGAAATCTGCTGCTCGATGCCGGGGGCGCCAAGAAGTGGCGGGTCTTCGAAAACGACGGCGGCGGCACGGCGGTCGAGAATTTTCGGACAAGAGATTGTCCACCACCGCCACTGCCACCACTACCATTACCACCACCACCACCAGATGAAGTGAAATCTGACAGTAAATCCATGACATCAACCCGGCCGCAACTACATGAAACGTAGTTAGCAACTTCCGTTGCGGCAGTACCCCGACGACCACCAGCAAGGGCTTCAGCCGGGAGTGCTGTTTCCTCGGCGTGACCGCCACCGCCTTGACTGGTCGGACGAGAAACTGTCCCCACCGTGGATGGAGCGGGAGAAGTAGCAGTAGCAGCAGCAGCAGCCGCCGCAGTAGCAGTAGCAGCCACCTCAGCTGCACCAGGACGTCGCGACTGGAAAGACATGGCCGCTGGAGTCGCCGAGATCTTCATCTGGGTTGCCGCCGCCACCGCCGCCGCCGTACAAGACGCCGCATCCGGTATTGCAGAGGTGGGCCGATGATACCGCAGTTTGGCAGCGTTGGGGAAGCCGCAATCCAGGGTTCCGGCAGAAGCGAGTGCATCGTTGTTTTTGTTGTTGGAAGTAACGATCGGTACAGCCGCCACAGGTGGCGCTGGCGCTTGTGCTTCGGGTTCGAACGTGACCCTTCCAGCGCCGTCTTGATACTTGTATATTCTCGGCGAGAGGTCGCCGGCCCTCCTGTCCGCCCTAGCCTCGGCGCCAGGGGCGACAAACGCCTGAAAACAGTTTTGAACGGGTGTTTAGCAGGGAAACCGCAGGGAAGCCGAACAAAGAAGCAAACACGTCGTGCAGCAGAGAAAGGAAAATACACAAGAACAAGGCGTTTCGCCAAGCTACCGTGGGTGTCCGAATGGGAGAGGGAAAGCAACAGTTAATTCGTGTTCGTTTGAGAATATTTCAGCGCCACGAGCGGAAAAGAGCCGGACCAGGAGCGAGGTGTAAGGGATTATACCTACTGCAAGTTCCCTAGGGCAATCCTCAACCAACACGGCATCTACCGTAGACAATGATATTTGCGAAAGGACATGGTTTCCCATAGTGAAATGCCTAATCCCGGCTGACGTGATGCCGGTCGGCAAAGCCCCCAGTGGAAGCTTTCCAAAATTTAGAGACAGCAACGTCGTCGTCGTCGTCGCCATCGTCGTTGGCATTATTATCAAATACGCTTTTTGAGCAGCTACCTTCTTCTCCGTGCTGATCCCAATAGTCGTGTGTGCAAGGGACGCTTAGATTACTCCTGTCACAAGCTGTCCCATAGAGCCACGGGTCTGAGAAGCTTCTCTCCAGAACACCACTGGGAGAACACCTCGCACAGAATACTGGACCCCTTGGTGACGGGTACATCGCAGAAGCATGTGCCTGGCCGGGGAAAGGGGGCGGGCAATGAAAGCGTACCTTCAGTTCGGTGTCGCCGAACATGTCTATCAGCTTCGCCGCGATCTGCTGCTTGTTCTTGACGGGGTACATCTCAGGATCCCCGCTCCCATCAAATTCTTTGGTGAATGATATCGTTTCCCTGCAGACACACAGAAGTATGTTGGGCAACTCATTGAAGCAGCGCGAACGGCCATTGTTGCAAATTTCGGCTAGACTAACGTTGCGTTGAGCAGCAGAAACGCTGTGTGTTCTTTTCATCGATGATTCAATGCCAGACGGAATCGACGCCATGAACGCTCAGGGCCACGAGGGTAGGACGCTAAGCGCCGCCAAAGTATCACGCTACTACATGTACCTATGCACGTCGTCGGGAAGTTGTCGACACCGGCGAGACTAAAAATAACGACGGGTCGATGAACTATGTAGGAGCAAGTTTTCGGCCACAAAACGGCCATCACCTGTCTATGGCCTATCTATGGACACCACAAATTGTCTTCGAAAGACAAAACACGTCACCAGAATGCTAACGCCACGAGGGGGACATTTCACTCACGAAACGGCTCGACCGGTGTTGCGCATGTAGACAAGCTGCTCTTCCTGCTGTTCTGTAAACCCGTCGAGAAGCCTGGGACGGCGGGAAAAGCGGTGGAACGTAACGTTGAATACGACAACTGGAAACGGAATAACCCGAGAAATATTATCGAGTATACGAGGAAGAATGCCTCCTACGTAAAGTGTCTCTTACATGGAACCGACTGCAGCGAGTCCATCCACCCTCGCGCTTCCATCGACCATTTGGACTCCCTCATATGCCTTTAACACCCAGATCTTAAGGTGTTCGTTCAACGGTGCTAGAATGTACGGAGCATCTTTAAAGTCTTGAGAGGAGTTCGTTGACCTAGACTGCTGGATCTACCGATCGTTGATCGCTTCGAAGATCCCGTGTGTGACCGCGGGTGTTTTTTTCGAGTACAGACTACAGGAGTAGCGAGAAACAGAATAATTTGATGGTGTTACTCACATGCCAACGCGAAGCACCGCTTGTCAAGTCGTTGTTAAGAATCTACTGTAAAAACCCGCCAACGTTGATGGTCGTCATTTGGATAGTTTCGCAACAATTTTTCGACACCACCACATTGGCATTGTACTGTGCATTGGAAATACCTGGACAGTCGTTGATAATGTAGGCGCGGTAATAATACCTTCCTCAACACTGTAAACAGGTTCGATTCTGTTGGGCTTGGACAGCATCACAATAGGTTGTTGGCAGCAACTTGGCAGGGATTTTCATGCATTGGGAGGGTTGTGGCGAAGAGTTCGGTAAAGCTGCATATATATTGTGCACCATTTCACCTTACCATCGACACGGTCTGTACGGTAAAGAAGGCAACCAATTATCATAGGCGGCTGACTGTTTCGGGACAAACAACGCGCACGCGCACGTTGTATCAACCCTCACCCTGCTATCTCCCTCGCCACTCTCTCTTCTGGCCAGTTGAGCCCCGTGAGTTGACCGAAGTTTTTCACCGTGAGACGCTCGGAAGAGCAGATGGAGCCGTCGCCATCTGCTCCAGGCTTCGAGTTGGTATGTGCATCCATCAGTTGATCGAATATGGTGTCCGTGTGGAACTTCGCGCGTCGTGTGCGTCTTGTCTCCATTAGTTCAAAAGCTGGGTCCACACGTCTTTGGTAGCATTGCGAGCCGATATGTTGAGATTCAATGGTTTGTCCGCATGAGGTGCGTGTGTTAGAGCAGTTCAACGCACAGACAGATGAGAAGAATTGAGGTGATGGAGATTCGTAGGCGAAAGGGGAAAAGAGTCCTGGACACAACGCCCTCGGCCAGGACTGAAAGACGGGGACAGCTGCGGAAGAACAGCGACACGACAGTACACTACTGCTGCTGCCGCTGCTGCTGCCGCTGCAGCCTCCCGCTGCTACTGCTGCTGCTGCTGCTGCTTTACAGACACGACGACCCTTCAAGCCAGTATAGTCTATGTTGTCAACGTGCGTACATAGTCTAGACCAGTCCCGAATCCGGCGAAACTTCCGACAAACTCTTGCTCACACCTCTTTTCTCGCGCGCGTTTCTCGCCTCTAGCCAGAGTCCAGGTTCGCAGGAAGACCACCGCAGGAAACTCTGCTCGCGTTCCGGTCTTGACAATGTAGGCCTCTTATCCTGTTGGAAAGTCGTGGTGTTGTGACTATTATGGCTGGGTGCGGAAATATTTTCCTCTTCGTCTTGATAGGCGCGGCGACTATTTTGGTTCCCTTTCGCCCCAACTCCGTGAAACCGTCGTTCCCATGGCGCGCCGCAAACCTTCCAAAGAAAAAACACTTCAACTTGTGACATGCATGGACACCGATGACCTCGCGTGTTGGCAACGTGACGCCCCATGCACGTCACACAACGTATGACACGAGCAGTAGTGGCCATCGTATGCCGCGCATCTCCAGCGCGAGAGCTCTAAACTACTACTTCGTACACTGGTGTCGCTGAACGGGACCTCGGAGTGAAACTGTTCAACGCAGGTGGGTGATGTTTGTGCGGCGCAATGCTGGCGGCTGCAGGGTGCACGGCCTGATTTCTTAACACATGATCGCCCACCCAAGTCAACAGCGTGCGCGAATTGTTGCCCGTCGGCTAAACGTAGTATGGATCACTCACTAACCCCATCCGCCCCAGTGAACGTAGTCGAAGGTTGATTCCAGTCGCCCGAACTGGCAGTGAAACGGGTCGATCAACGGTGTGGCGAGCGGCATCCAAACAGCGGCTTGCAAGAGCCTTTCCGGAATTTGTTGGTCGCTTTCAGGGAGCGCCAGGAGCCGTAATACCTCCTCCCAGCTATGATAGACATCATCAGCAACAGCAGCCATCACGCAGAAGTGGGCCGGAATTCGGTCAAACAAGAGCGTTTCGCTCAGTCGCACGCAACCATGAGTGATGCTACGGTAGTGTGTAGTCGCTGCTGTAGCGACGATGGCCCGCTGATACCATTGCACTGGTGCGTCGAATCTTCGTACACGAGAAAATGCTGACTACACCGCCGCTGGCACGTACGCAAAGAGAGCCAAAACAATCACGATAAGCATGAGCACCATAACCCTAAAACGTGAGTCTTCGCAGCAGCGGAGATGCCGGGGGAATGGCAGACCACGCTCCCACTCGACGCACGAAGCCAAGCCAACACAATTAATTACCCTCCACTTCAGTCTCTTGTTTTTTTTGTTCGTCTTGGGGAAGGCATGCATACGCGATGCATTGGTTGCAAGGAGGAAGGCAGACGCATCATCCGCAAATTGATCATCTGGTGTAGAACCTAAGCAACCGTGCAAGGTACGGCCTCCAACGACCGATCCACAGGTACTACTACGCTGCACGTACCACAAATAATATCGACCATTTTTCCAGGTTTGCATCAGCGAAGTGCTCTCTTCACTAATAGATAGAATTGTTTGGCTCCACCAAGAGGGGAAAGCGTGCAGTCTGTGAGGAATATCAGCAAGAAGAACGTAAAAAAACAACGATAAACTTTATACAAGGTACCGGATCTCTTTATTGCGAAGACAGCAACAACGCGCCTTGAGTTGGTCCATGAATGCAAGCCACCGTACACCTACAGAGCTACGGCAAGTACGGTCAACCTAGCTTAGATTGCTGCGTTTACCGCGCAGAGACAAAATATAGAAACCGCCTCTTCGATAGTAAGTCTCTCGAGCTCCAAGGTATTGAAAAGCTTGAAAGCTTGAAGTCCCGTACGATACGAAGTCCAATACATCCCGCCTGACACGACGCCAAAAGCCTAAAATACCACCAAACAAACTTACAACGCGGCGGTCTATTCGAAAAGTCAATAAATCTATCATACTCTGTACAGAGTAGCAACAGAGAGAAGTCTTGAGAGAGTGGTGAAACTATTGCAGGTCCAGTGTGCAAACGCCAAACTTCCTCTTGGCTCAAGCCATCTCAGCTACGAGGAATGCACAGGTCGATCCCAAACACTCGACTATATGCATCCCGCCTGCTTCGATTTCCACCGACCAATCTCCCCATGTACACCAATTTCCGTGGGTCCAAAATATAAACTTCTTCAGGAGGGCGAATCTCCTACAGATGCTGCGCAATTATCGGTAGCGTGCACGATATCGATTGTTCAAGCACCGGGCACCGGCAGTAATACCTGCACTGAACCCAACCTTCTCTTGCCTACGACAAACGGTAGGATTTCACCCAGCGTCAGGCAGGTGGCAATGCCTACTTGTTGCATGGGGGCAGCGAGCGCCAACCACTGAAAAACTCGAGTGTGTAACCATAGAGCAAGGGACACAATCCCTTACACATGCATACGTCGAAACATTCGTGTACACTCCCTTCGCGTGCCGGGGGTGTGTTGGGGTGGGAGGATCTTCGTTATCAATCCTCAAGTTGCACAAGGTGTTCGGGAATGTTCTCAGGAACGAACTCTTGCTCCGAGGTTGATGCTTCTAAGGCCGCCTCCTTTGCGGCCTCAACCTCTTCCTGCATCACCTTCACTTCCTCTTGGTTCACGGGGATGACCTGAGGTGGCAGTTGAGGAAGGTGTTGTGATCCGAAGGGAAGCGGTGTCATTCGAAAGGGAGGTGCTTTGATCCAAAGCGAAAGGCGTTGTGATTCGAAGGGAGGTGTTTCGACTCAAAGTGAGGTGTATTGTTTCAAAGGGACGGCGATATGATTCGAAGGACCGGGGTGATGATTCGAGGCAGCAAACCAAGGGGTGCCGGCACGAGACGAATTGCCTTGAGAGCCTTGCGCTTGGTCGGCCAAGAGAACGCTGAGCGCGAGAGCGGGTTCAAGCACTGTTGCGAGCAAATCACGCTGCGGTTTCGAACCCTTGCTCGTTCGCAGGGAACAGATAAAAACATTACTACTCTGAAACCGCATGAGAGGGAACCAACCAATCTGTCAGTGAAGTATTCTACACCCATTGGAGCTGAACGCGACATGGGTGTCGCGTGATTTACCATAAGAGCTGCTTGCTGCCGCTTGTCGTCACCTTCTGCACCGCGTCGACGACCACGCTCCTGGTCTTGTCCAGGAGAGACAGCCTCGAAGATATCACTGCTTGTTTGAAGAGCCTGACGTACTCCGAGCGCGAGTGGTCGTTGACGCCGTCGATGAAGGAGAACCTTAGCATCGCGCTCCACCGGCCAAGGAGGCGGTCAACCAGGTTGGTGGTGCTAATTGCACCGCTGTTCGCGAAATGTTTGGCAGGCGACGGCGTGTTGTTGAAGCGGGGGCGCTCGATGAGTTCACCACGGAAGGAGACCCAGACGATCTACTTATCCTAGCGTTAGGGTTACTTAGGGTGACTTAGGGGGTTTAGGGTTTAGGGTTACTTAGGGTTAGGGGTTAGGGTTTAGGGTTAACGCTAGGGTTGTTAGATGAATCCCAAGGGTGATGGCACGGGCCTCTGAACTACCACTACGGAGTACACATGTAGGTCCAAGCTCGACAAATGTAGGTCCAAATTCGAGCAGAAACGGAGCAAATGCACTCCAACCGATCCTCACAATCGGTCGAAGTAGACCTCCGTGCCGACGTGCTTGTAAGGAGAAGGAGGGATGCGCGTGACGATGTCGTTGTTGTTCCTGCCGCGGAAGTACTTGTCCTTCATGCGGGTGCCGTGGTTAGTCTTGGAGTCGAAAATGGCGGCCACCTCCGAGTCAAAAACCCTTCAAGAGGAAAGAATTCCACAACGAAGTGTGAACAGAAGCACGGTGGAACGTATCAGATAAAGCGCGGTGGAATTGGATGTGGTGATTGAAAAATGATCGGGAACCCCCCTGCGGTATGACAGTCGACGAGGGTTTCAGAAATGGAAATGCTGGGATACTGAAAATAGCAGCCACCGCGGAAGCAATCAATTTCTCGTGTGCCCAGCAACGCAAAAACGCACTAAATCTTACCTAAAAGGATTGCGACAACGTGCTTGGAGGTGTTACTGGCAGCAACGCATGCACCCTGGAGCAGTGTTATTGTCGTTGATGCACCACTTAGACTTTACAGGATCATGCAACAAAACAACATGACAGCCGATCTGCAAACAGTGCCATGAACAATCTTCTCGAAAGAGCATAACGACACCAGCTCGGACAACACTACCGTAGCTTGCACAAGATACTTACACCTCCCGAACCGAGTTTTTAACCTCGAAGCTCTGCATCAAAGACAGTGACGGTGTCGAAAATATCGACGATGGAACCGTTTCGTCGAGAGGGTCCCAAAAGCGCATAACTAAATTCCGGGTAGCCTTCTTCGTTGTGGAGTAGTAGAGGTCTGAAACTCGGTGGGCGGTATCTCATACAACCTACGGCGTGCGCCGTGCTATTTGTTGCAGGAACGCTCTCATTCTTGAGATGCTCAAGCCAGCCAGACCTCGCTGTCCACAGAAGACCTTGAGCCCGTACCTTGGGGAACCGATGGTGTACAGCGCCGCCACGTTTAAGTCGTCCACGAACACCAAGCGGGCCGCGGCGATCGTTGCGAGGGCGCCTCCAAGAGAGTGCCCCGTGACGTACAGCTTGCGGCTCCTGCCTTCCTCGTGGTAGAACCTTTTGATGACCGCGAGCATGCCTTCGGGGTGGCCGGGGCCGGGATTCCATACCGTGTTCACGCCATCATCGAAGCCCTGCCCACCAAAACAGATTGGGGTTTCGACAAGAAGTTCGCGAAGCGTTTCAAGGAGGGTTGACTGAGGTCCTACGAGAAGGCTCACATCTTACGAGATTACCGGCTTGTACAAGTATGGATGGAACGATGCACGTCAACCCCAATTCGCCACGATATGGTGATGCACGTATATTTAAAGGAGTTCTACCACCCACCTGGTGTTCTCGGTCGACTAAGTAACCGGAGGGGGGGCGGGGGGCGGGTGGAGGTTTGTTCGGAACGATATGTTCATAATACCCCTGATAACTAGGCTACAAGGTGGTGCACATTAGACGGAAGTCAAGACCTTCAACAACGTTTGTGCACGCACTCTTCGACAAAACCATACCAAAAACACCTCGAGTCTCGCCTTCATTCTCGGCGTGTACCCCCACGCAGCCATCGTCGAACAAACCATCCCTTAACTGCGTGGTTACCGCAAAGAACCCACGTTCCCCAAACGTTCTACATCACACCACCACATACGGCGGTGCACCGATCCCTCAACAAACTGCGAAGCTTGTCGCGGTACCGAATATCTCGTGTGGAGAGCCAAAGCCTCACCCGGTGCAGGTCACCCTCGGTTGTCTCGAGCTTCCAATCCTTGGGGACGTCCCGCGGGAGAATGCTGAAGTTGGTCAGCCAGTCGCTGCCCCCGCTGCTGCCGCGGAACACCACCACTATCGCTCCGTCGTTGACCGCGACAAAGGCCTCGGTGTCGTGGATGGCATCAAACGTACTTTTATCGACGACTTCATCGTTGGCCTGCATGGATCACAACATTAAACAAGAAGAGCAAAAACAAGTGCGCAACGCGCCACCACTTCAGAACGTCATAAAAAGGCCGAGGCTCGATTATTATTTTGGCTACCCCCACGCGACAACTATAGATATCAGTGTAGCCGTCTTGACTGAGCACCTCAATGATGCCGGTGACAAGCTAAGCATTTCACACGGAGGTGGCCTGTCGAGCGCCCGCCTCGGGGGGGATGGACCTCGTGATAGCGAAAGAGGTGGAGAGATTGCAGCCTCCTAGACCGATTTTGAGAGCTCGACTGCGCCATAGCCAAGATTGTGTCAACACCAACGCCGGCGGCTTTGTAAGCATCTCGTCAAGGCCTTTCCGTAGACATTCCGGGTTCTTTTCGCACCCCATTGGTTGTGGAGCAATCAATTGAGTTTTTGAAAAGTCGGTGCAGACGGGGTGCCTGTTACGTACACACTCGAGAAAAGAGGTCGTGTTCACCTCAAACCACTGAAAGTTGTCACCCGCTGCGGCGCCCTTCCCCCAGAAGGAGAGGGTCTCCATGGCGCTCCGAACCTCGTCCTTTGATTGGTAGCAGAGGGCGGACATCCTGGCTAGGAAGTAGGCGTTCTGCTCCGAGAAAGCCGTGGCATCGGTGTCCAGCTTGAACTCCACCTTCGGAGAACGTGGCAGGAATCGAGTTCACACGCGTGAGTGCTGCAATTCACGAGACCGATGAACCGAACCTATTAACGTTGGCCAACTATCCACTGCTACTGGTAGGCGTCGATGGACATTGATCTCAAAAGGAGACGGAGTTCCTGCCCGACTGGACGCAAACATTGAATGGGGAACTCAAGAACTAAGGGGATGTTAACACTCACGCAAGCAGGTGTAACTGAAATGCTAAACACGAAGGGGCTTGGTCCTAAAACCACCAAGGGCTTGGTCCTAAAACCTCCCCCTGGAGACAGCCCCAGACTATGTATCCGAAGGCATTGATTGACGCATGACAACCAAGAGACAGACGTCGGTACCGCCTTCGACTGCTGTGAAAGAAATCCGTACACACCGGGCAGCATCCTTGCTCACCTCCTCCTCTGCGTCCCCCGCTGAGTAGACGGGGACAACGGGGACGTCGTCTGCGCTCGGAGCACTGCCAGATATCAGCAGGCAGACCGAGAAACACAGGGCGGAGAGAGGGAAACGTGTCTCTTGCTATGCATACATGACGCGGTACGGCAGTAGTGGCGGGCCGCAGCCAAGAACCATATTGTAGTCCTCACAAGAACGAGCGGCATGGATGTTAAGGGCGCGGCGGGGATCGCAGTACCTCCTTTGAAGAATCCAGGAATTGCCTGTATATCGCAGTTTTCCAAAGTCTAATTCCAGCACGAAACTACCATCGCAAATTAAACGGTCCGCCGCGGTCGCTTGTGTACAAGGTAACTGTCGGAGATTGGAGCCCTTGTGCCTCCTTTCATCGAGATCGGTGAGCTACAAGCATACAGCAACGGCGAATCAGCGCAGCTCTTCCCTCACATTCCCTACTCTTCGCCAGTCGATTTGAATGCCTGGGGTCATCTATGTGTAGGTCTAGCCAGAAGCAAAGGTGCTTGAAGAGTTTCAAAATCGGACCGCACATCAGCTTAAAAAATCCTGCTCGCTTGTCGCTCACCCATCTCGATGATAGAAGGATCGGTTGGAACATCGTGGACGGCTTAGTCTGCAGTGTATCACAAGGGCTGCAATCTCCGACACTAACAATTTACACGAGCGACCGCGGGCGACGGTTACCTTGCGATTGTACTTTCGTACTGGAGTTAGACTTTGGAAAACTGAGATATGCAGGCATTTCCTGGATTTTTTAAGAGGAGACACTGCGATGCCCCCCCCGCGCCCTAAAGACATTGGTACGTATGTTATGTCACTGTCACGGCTCTGAATCCTACTCCCATGTTAGCATAGCAAATTCCTTTGCTTAATGGTTGCGACACCGGGACTACGTATGGCTCAAAGCCTATTAGCCGTGCATTTAAAGGTACACTTGTCATCAGAAACACCCGTGCCGCCGCCCTCCAACTACTTATCACATGCTTAGACATCAACTACACATCATATGCATACATATCCTAAGACACAAGACCAATCATCTGCTTGCACAGTCTAGAGTCTAGACTAGTCTACAGTTGAAGAGCTGTGGCGCATTTCGGCTGATGTTCTATCAACGGAGTTGACGCTGAGGAGTAGCAGATGTTCCCGTTTGAAGAATCCCCGGCCACAAAGGCCAACTCGTAAGAATCCCCTGGTCCGTTCCGTGCGGGAAAAATCGAAAGTGCAGGCCCAATGTGTGTTCGTGCGTACATGGAAAGTTCCGGAGATCTAGCTAGACTCGTTGTGCAAGTAAATTTTAAACTATAAGACAAGGAGTCGGCAGACTACAGTAATTACAAACCAACATGAAGGCATGTACAGAACGGGCCCGCAATCAAGAAAAAATCTGTTCAGAAAATGAGGCTCAAATGTTAAATACGAAAAAAGGACTAAGAAACACAGCTCAATCTCGGCCATAAGAAACGTCCCAATAAGAAACATGACCGTGCGATACCCCCAATACATAAGAAGCAAGGGGTAGGTGGGGAGCGTGTCCAATAAGAAACGTCCCACTGCTGCTGCTGCGCTGCTGCCATGCTCCCACCCCCTACCTAGCATGTGTTTTTTTTTTTTTGTAGGGGGCGAGAGTGGTTGTTTTTGCGGCGCCCCCCGCGCCCCTGCGCCGCCGCGGGCTGCGCTACCCACTGCTGCTGTACTGCTGTATCTCCACACATCTCGGAGTACCACACGCTGTCCGCTGTAGTACGGGTTTGATGGCACTCTCCGCCGCCTCCCGTGAGGGCTTGAACAAGTTGTGAAGGCTTGAACAAGTTGCTAGTCCTCAGAGATCTTCTCCAGAAACAAGAAAATATGAAAAATAAGAACATACGGTACTCCGTAAACAAGCAGGATGCGACAGCCCAAAGGAGTAAGAAATCCGTTTTAAGAAAATGGACGACTTCGGCTGGCCCTTCGACCCAAAATAAGGGACGACAGTCGGGCCCGCTGCATGTGTCTAGACTACATGCATTTCTGTCTTTCATGTGCATATGCATGCATGTGCGTATGTAGGTATGTGCGGACACATTCGTTCAATGACGTCCAGATGCCAGCTGAACCAATGGGATTCTCTTGATAGGCGGGTTCGCGATGCTGCTAGTATTTCCTCCTACAGGTGGGATGAGCGCAAGGCCGAGACAAACGCGTGTGAGTTGAGGCGACATGGTGACATGGTGACATGGTGTCGGGACACACAGCGATATCTATCTATCTAGCTAGCTAGCTAGCTCCCTTTTTACCCGCTCACTGCTTGTTGCGAGGGTCGAGGGCCCCTCTGCTGCCGAACCGTTAGACTCTGCTGTGGTTCCGAATCTGCTAGTCTCCGGCAATGCGTTGAACAGGATGGCCCTGCCCACCGACGATATCATCAACGCATGCATCCGAAGCCTGTGTCTCCCATTATGGGAACCAGGCTACACCGAAGCTACCTGTTATAAAATAGGGTATCCACTATGGATTGACGCGGAATTTTGACCTTTGAGGATTGACGCCAACATAAAGTGACGGTTGAGGGTTTTGACGGGAAAAAATTCGCACCGCGTGTGCCCGTTGACACGTGAGAGGTGAAAAAAAAAAAATGGTGGAGGTAGAGTTCAAGGTTGGTTCGGGCTGCCACCCAGGGTCGACATTCCGAAGCGAAGACTCACACCCCCAGGCTCCCAGGAGACTAGGTGTACCCCTTCGCCTCATCCCGCCGACCTTCCCTCCTTTGCCGCGGCGACTTTTCCCAGGCGTCAAACTGCGACTTCCCAGGCGGCAAACTGCCGTTCGTTGCTGATGAGTAAGGCAGCTGCTCGCTGCACTGCTGTGTATATACCGATGTCACTGCGGCAGCAGAGCACCGAACCCCGTGAGGGGGCGGGCGAAATGCACCTACTGACTGGCAAAGTCCGTGTACCCTCCCTTACTCCTCTCCATGTGCTGCCTTCGAGGGCGAGACTCCCCCAATCACTCCCCTGCCTATGCCCCTTTTTGCTGCTGAAAGCCCGTGCGCAATCGCGACAGCACATCTACCGAACGCGCGCGCCGAACACGCGCGTCTGGCCACTTGGCCGCCGTGAGAACTGCCGAGACGCGTGGGTGCAGGACCGCTAGGAGCAATCAGTATAGGCATGGCCAATGTGTTCGCTGCTGACCGCGCACAGCAGACCGCAGCAGAGCAAGCGTGTGTGAGCCACAGTCTGGCGATGTTTGAAGCGTCAATCTTTTCGCGTCGTTTTATGTTTGGGTGAAATTTAATTTTGACGCTTCCTCACAAAAATTTCGCCGTCAGAGTTTGCCCCCAAAAAAGCGGCGCAACCTCTTCACGTCAAAACTTCCTGAAATGTCAATCTTTCACGTCATTTCAACAACACGTGGATTCCCTCTAAAATGTTGTGATGAATGAACCGAATGAACCTGTCGGGGTACAGGAGTTGATGGGGGTATGTAGGCAGATGCGATTCACCTGCGGAATGTACGCATTTTGTAGCGGATTCGAGATTTTGGGGCCATGTTAACCTCGGCAAGACGGCTCCAAACGCAGAGGAAACGCAGAGGAGACATACCGCAGAGGAGACATACTTCTGTGCGCGTGTTCGCAAAGGGGACCAGCAGTAGGCCTGCCAGGCCAGGTGCTACCCGCTGGACCTACGTACCAGCCGGGACAGCAGACGTTTTATCTGATAAAATCTCTTCTTCACCCACCTTGCAGCCATAGCTGTCGCCAGTGTGTATTCTCCCTTCAATGTGCTGCTCGCTTTTGTGGCGTTGCTTATTCTTTTGCAGGCTACCTATTCAGGACCTCGCCTTCGCTTTGTGTATGTGAAACGCGCCCTCGGTGTGTGGAGTGTGTGGAATGATTGCTGTCGGGTACAGCACTGCTGTAGGCGGCAACCAAACCAACCACCAGGAAACAAGTCAAATTTTTCCATGAAGAGCCGAAAACAAAAACCCGCCAAAACAACAACGGTTGTTCTCTCAGCAGGACTCTCGGGATAACGGCGCAGCCGACAGGTTTGGCTCTCTTCGTCAGAGAGACCACTGCATTGCCTCCGACAGCCTGAGCAACAACGCAAACGACGGAGGAAAGTAGTCTACCTTGCCCAACACAACAATGTGAGAGTGCGGTGCAGTTCCCCAACCATTGCGTGAAGACAGCGCACAGCAGACAACACGAAACTGCTGTCCATGGCATTACACTCCGCAGAAAATTTATTTGCATGAGAAGAAGCATTTACCCGGTGCATGGCTTGGGGTGGCGGTAGGAGTGCGACTCATCGTACAGCCCCTAGATCGACATTCATAGCCCCACCAACAATAGGGCTAGGTTGGTCTTGGAAAGATCTCGCCGAGACGCGTTGTAGACTATTTTTGTCCGTCTTCTCCAACACACGCACACAAATTCATGGAACAGGCACCTACTCCTGAACTTGCAAATTGCGGCACATGCGCCCACGCACGAAGTTTCCCAGTTGTTTCTATAGGCCAAGCAGCTAGGCGCCAGAGTGGTTCGAACCTGCGTGAGAGAGAGCTGGCCTCGGGATGCGTACAATTGTTCCATTTCGTGGACTACAGTATTCGGTCCAAAGAGGCTTGGGCCGCACGACCTCTGATGCGGCTTCGTCTCGAACACCGTTGGAGGAACATCACACCGCGCTCTCGTTCCGAAGCACCATTTATCCAATGGTATCTAACTCGGTAATCCCGTAACGCCATGCTTTTGGACGCTTGTTGTTTCGTCCTGGTGTGCTGCCGGGAACACCCACATCTGGACTCAGTACCGTCAACTCTCCGGTTCGGAACGACGTCACGGTTCCATCGTTTGCCCCTTCGGCCCCCGTTTCCGAGGTAAGCATCATTTTTCCGTGCGGAGACAAATGAAATTTAGATAGTGTACAGTTGACAACAATTCGGACTCACGGATAATCGGCATGCTGCTACTGTTGTACATTCATAAGAGTCGTTGGGGGTTTTCGTTGGAGACGGGAAACATTCCCCGTTTGGAAGGCGCAGGGGTTGAGCCTCAGGCAGTGGTGTGTATGAACTTTTGCTGGGTCGTATCGAGCCAACATTGCTTACGTACCGCCAACGTCGACCTGTTCTCTTCTTGGCTCGCTGACGATTGCAAGACCTCCGTGTATTGGAACAGCAGTCGCATGAGCACTTTATTCGGAACCAACAGACGCATCGGAGCAATGTTAGCTATGCTTCCAAGCAAAGTTGGCTTGACTTGAAACCCATAACACATTATCGAGGGTGGCACAACAACAATCAGAAAGGAAACCTCGAAATCTTGGAGAGGCCGAACACTGTGGTGAGGAGATGCGGGCTTTTGAACGTGTATTTGCACGTTATTGTTGTACTCACCGCTACCTTTATGAGTATCCCGCGGCACGTCTATTCTTGCATTCGAACACTCTGTCGGCGTGTCTGAAGCTGCTGCCTTTAACACCCAACAAAGGTGGAGCTTAAGCCGGACGTCAAGGCAACGTCGTTCTCGGCTCAAAACGGCTTTTTTTTCTCCAAGATGAGCAAGCTTGTGTACTCTCCCCGGATCGAGGTCGAGAGTGCAATGCAGGGCAAGGACGGCATGGGGTACGAGCATTTCCACTGGTTCGAGGTAAGAAGGGGCGTTGGAGGCAACGCGATGTTTCTTGGTTTGGCCGCTGGGGAACCGTTGGACTTGTTTTGGGGGCATGCTCTTTGACAGAGCAAGGCGCGCGCGTGCATGCCTATGAAACGGGTGATGGTCTCATCTCATCTGCGTAGAGTTCTGCACATTTACAAGTTTTCTGCACACTTGGAATCGGCCGGGCGCACCAGAAAGTCATCAACTGATACAACAGCAGTACCTCGACAGACGAAAATGGCGCCACGAAGATAAATATCCTGTAAAATTTCCGCACCCCAGCAACGTAAATTTCGAGCTCGCACAACGCGAACATGCTTTCTTGTTTTCCGCGTTGCCACTATATGGTAAGTATATCCGTGGGAATACGAGTTCAAGAGTGTATCTCGGAATTTCACGCCCCACTAAGAAATAGCACTCAGATTATGAACTTCTCTCTTTTTTTCTGCATGATGCATACCTCTGTGAGGAAGAGATCCGTGTTTGATTCTCGAGCTCTTGACAACTACGGATCCGTCTACAACCGCCATTGGCAACATCGTTTCGAATACTGAGTCAAGTAAGGTCTTGGCACGATTCGCCGCCATCGCGCGTGACTTCTTAACGTTACTCGTAAATACGTCCGCTGGCGCAAGGAAAGGCGGACCCGGAGGTGTCGGGAGCATCAATCTGGGACCGCATCCAAGACACGGAGGCGTTCGTGGCGGCGAACGATGACGTCATCCTGGTGGTGTTCCGCGGCTCGAGCGAACTCACGGACTGGACGACGAACTTCAACCTGGTCCGCCGACTCGTCCCGAGCAACTGGGGCCTGGACGGTCTCGGCTGCGACGTGCACCAGGTGATACTACTATAGCAGCAGATGATACTACTACTGTGCTGTTCCCAAAGGTGCAATTTTTTCTGTGGGTGCAACAGTGAGATAAGGTATGCATATTTCCATACAGTAGTGAACATGACGCCGGTTGAATAATGCCGGTGGCCCATACCGCCGGTGAAAATTGCGGGGCACAGACTGAAGGACCAAGTCAGTCTGTACATTGAACAGCGCCGGGTCCCTCTGAAGAGGGTCGGTCAATTCGCCGGGCACGTACCGGCGTTTTCGAGGGCCCACTACCTGTACTGTTCGAAGTGTGCACTTTTACCTGTGGGTATTTCCGTAGTTCGTTTTCTTTCCGTTTCATGGTCTGATTTTGGATTCGCCCCCTGGCTGGTTCTACGATATTCACCCGTTGCGCCGAGTCCATCTTACTGCGACACTCGCATGTGTCCACATCCTTGCGATGCGTATATCCCACAAAGCACACGCTCCAACAAAGCAGACGCCGAAAACTAGTAAGCAAAGAAAACTGCCCAATAAAGGCAAGCTTTCGCACTAACGCCCCAACACCCCATCTCACCCACCCTCTGAGTGGACAGGGCTTCGACGATGGAGTGGAGACAGTATGGAACCCGGGCTCCGCTCACCCCTCGGGTATGCGCAACATCATCAAGACCCTCTGCGAGGAGGAGGGCAAGAACCGCAAGCTGTACCTCGCCGGGCACTCTCTGGGAGGCGCCCTGGCCACCGTCGCGGCGGCCCGCCTGGCGTTCATGGACGACGTAAAGATATCTGGGATGTACACGATCGGGAGCCCCAGGTGAGAAGAGGACACGAAGTGCGAAAAGAGGTGCGCGCAAGGGTTGGTGGGGCCGCGTTTTTCTTCAAGCTCTTCTCCCTTGAACAACTCGTGTTTTCTCCTCATACATAGCGTAGCGTCTGTGGACAACAGCATGGACATGCCGGAGAGCTTAGCGCCCGCAGCCCTCTAGTTCAGGTCTAGACTCGTCTTCGGCACGCGCTCTGAACCAGTGGCATCGCAACGAGGACGTTGCGGGGGTGGTTTCCATGAGCACTCCTACTTTTCGTGAAAATTCAGCGTTATCCTTCTACAATTTAGGGATATAGAGGAAACACTCGTAACGCGAGTGGGTGAAATTGCCGGGGCTTGATGGGTTGTGAGCCTATGGATGACAAACCTTGTTAAGACTTCGTACGTATCCCGAATTTTGATGCCGCCTTGCGCATATCTACCTCGTTGTTTGTTGCTCTTCGCGAGAAGAGTGTTCGGTGAGAACATGGCCGACCGCTTCGACGCCAAGTTGAACGACGGCACGCGGATGAAGGACAAGTACTTCCGCTGCCGGAACAACAACGATCTGGTCACGCGCGGTCCTCTTCGTCCTTACAAGCACGTCGGCACGGAGATCTACTTCGACCGATTGTGAGATTTTTTCTGGTCGTTCCCCCTCGACAAAGTTGTGTTAGGCTGATATTGATGCCTTTATTTCATGTTGACACCGTCGCGAACGACGGGAACGGTGATAAGGATACCTACTCTTGAATGTTGGCGCGCCTTTGATACGGGGTGGTCCCTGTCGGGGCCTGCACATAAATAATACTCCGTGATACGTATGTACTGTAGTGGCTGTGTTCTAGCTTCACATTTTACGATATTGAGCTCTTTCAAATGGTTTCTACATGTACGCCTGTACCACAATCTCACTCCATCATGTGTCTGTGTTCAAGGACTGCACGTTGCTGCCCCTGAACGTCACGCCAGCTCGACGTTCATTCGGTCGATAGGGTGGAGATGCTCGAGATCGTGCCCCTCATTGATTCAACCAACGTCCTGAAAATATATGTTCTATTGTTCAGGGTTGTTAATGCCTTGTTGTGGCCCCACTACATGGTACCTATTTTTTCTCGTACAAATAGCCCCAAGACGAAATCGTCCACCCTAGGGGTATAGGGTATAGAATGTCGGTGGTGGCCCCGCCATCCCAAGAGGCGACTGTCTTGATTCTTCCAGCCCCCTTAGTCTCTGTCTGAATTTCCTGACGCTGCGTCCGGTGCAGCGGCGGCCTCTCGACGAGTACGCTCTTGGACCGTATTCTCGGCCGGATCAGCGCGCTTTTGAGGTTCTCCTTGGTCGACGGCGCCAACGACCACGGGGCCGGAGAGTACATCCGACTCTTCAAGCAAACCGTCATCGACGAGAGGGTGCCGCTTCTGGACAAGGCCAAGAGCTTGGCGGAGGACGCCGTGCAGAAGGTGGGTTTCAAACCATGTGTGAACGGCAATCGCCCCATAGACCGGGAACGTTTGTTGGTTCTATCTCTAGGGCAATCGACAGCGCTATGGCTGCCGAAATAAGGTACACGCGGTGCGTGTGATAGAGTCAGAACGACGTACTCAAGCTCCCTACTCGCTAATGCCGTTCCGTAGTTTTTTTCTTCCATGTTGCTTGATGGCGATCTTCTCCCCTGGATGCCGATGACGTTGTTGCCGTTCGATTCCCTCAAGGTTGCTCCCGTCGACAAGGAGGCAGCGAAGACGCAGAAAGACGAGATCGAGACGGCAAAGAAGGCGGTGCTCAAGGCCTCCAAAGAAACTTTCGTCCCGACCAAAATTCCGGGCTCCGTTCCGGACCACAAGGACACCCCGGAGCTATGAGGGAGGGACGGGCCACAACGTCGGGGAACCATCCCCATCCACGCGCTTGGGGTTAGTCAACCACTCTTGAGTAAATTATCGACCATTATGCACACTACATCAACGATGGATGTGGGGTCTTCCTGTTTCTATATCTGTATCTGGTGTCCTTGTTTGTGATCTGGAATCATCGCGTTTGATGATTTGCTGAGTCTGTTACACTGTAGTGTTTTCCCTTTTGATGTTTTAGAAAAAAGTGTGTACTTGTTAGATTGGTCCGGGACCACGGGAGGCGTCCGCGTCAGTGGGACCGGTACACGGATGGTAGAAGGTACTGAGTACGGATGGTAGAAGGTACTGAGTACGAATGGTAGAAGGTACTGAGCAGCGACCGGAACGGTTTGTACAATAAATAAAACAACAGCAACAACAACAATCGACCGGATCCACGAGGAGGCCGGACGAAAATGTATGAATATACAGTACAGTGGATGAATTCGCACCTCAGCTGTGACTGGGGGTTGTTATATTACAGTATTGGGTTTTTGATCATGGCCGGGCCATGGTCGGGTCATGCATGTCCCATTGCGACGGAGCTAGTACCTTGTTTGACGTGGAAGTCAGTCATTACTCCTTCATGACTCGGTAATGATCGACTCAGTGAATGAGTTATGACTTCACTCGGTCATGACCGAGGCTCTGCTAGCACATTTGTCATGTGTACGGGTCCAGCGGTGACTGATTGATCACGACTTCAAATGGACTCGGAAGGCAAAGTTACGAGTGCGTCCAAGGTTCGGTGTGCTGAGGTACTCGTCGACGACGTCTTACGGTGCTAGTCGTGAGGTGACCCTATTACCCTTTCTTTTGGTTATCTCGCGGTGGGTAAATTGTTCATTCGGTCAATATGACTGATTTCTGAAAATACTAAAAGATGGCCAGGTTCAAGTAAAGTCACTTCCAGGTAATTGAAAGCTCATGGCAGAGTCGTCTTTCGTGACAAGGCGTGCATGTGTATGATCTTCAACTACCTATGTCTTCAACACACAACGCCAGAATGCCACACATATTAGCCGTAAAAGTAAATCGTCCGTACGCTGGTTGCCGAAAGGGGGGCTTATTACTCATTGCCATGCGTTTCACTATTGTAGAAGTAATCGCAGACATCATGACGTCCACTGTCTGTTCCACTGGTCAAGGAAACAGTTTGGCCACGTCTCTGTAGGCAGTGAATTTCCAGACGATGAAGCGCTCGCGAAGAATTACTGTACCTGTCAAACCCCTTCTATTTCTAACTGGCGACATTTGTGCTAAACCGTGCAGTGGCACATGGCTGAACACTTCCCCGCCGTATTCTTGGCCGAAACGTCCAGCACGATTTCCTCGAAATGTGCTGTAATTCTCAGGGTAGCGTAGTCCCGATTCGACTCACAAAAAACTGCACCTCCTGCTGAACGTACACAGAAAGAGAGTTAGAACACGGGAGCATGCCCACATACACATCATATCTTGGACACCGTTCCAATGTAGTGTAGGGCATGTATTCAGACTCATTCCCCTCTCATGGAGTTACTGCAGACACGAGATGCACGGCTACTATCCTGCAAGGCCCTTCCAAGATGCCCGTCGTTTATCCTCTACACAAACACAAAGTGCTTCCAGCGGGCGCCCACCCCCCCCTCCCTCCATTATAGTCGGAGGTCCGCACTTCTGACAAAGTCCTGACGTGCCCGTCCTCGTTGGTGGATGGTGGTCTACGCAGACTCTACGTAGACATGAACTGTAGGGCTCGAACCCCAGTGATTGGCACCCCCCCAACTCACACCCCATGTGAAGTGGCAATCACCGTTAATCATCGCTTGTCACCTGGAAGTTGCATTCTTCGTCAGTAGCTTCTCTGAAAAGATTACTTCATTGTGTACCATGAAGTTCGTGGAACGAACCGGTTCATGATCCTCGACATCTTCGTCACGTAAGGACCCAGACCTCAAGGGTGAGGGAGTATTTCGCGCGTCAGGTAGGGTGCGCTTGAAAAACTTGAGGGACTTTCAATGATCTACATTATTTGACATCACTATAGGGGTGTCCACGGACACCGGAAAGACGCCCGTAGACACCTCCAGGGAATGTCCGCGGGCAGGTCTGTGGACGTCCATGGATGGTGGTCCACGGAAGCTTCCACCCACATCCGTGGGCGGTCCACGGACACGTCGATGGACGTCCACGGACGCCCCACGAAGAGATGGATTACTGCAATAATGCAGCAACTCGAAAAATCCGTATTCCGCGCCCAGCAAAACGTCGAAGGCCTGGGCCAGCATCATCATGGCTGAGATCATCTTTCCTTTTGCACGAAAAAAACTCGCTCGTTCTCCAGGTTTCTCCACATATTTTCTGCTACTATTGTACATGCGATACTGCATCCATGGGCACCATGCGCCATGGGTTGTTGTTGTCTTCACATTAAGAACCCGTTTAAATATTCCGACCTCTCCACCCAGTACCTTCTATATCAAACGAAAGAGCGCCTTCCACTGGTGGTGGTCTTCTGAGCTGATGGTCTAGAGAGGGGCTTACAACATTTCACCACAAGAACACGATTCTATGTCCAGACGGGAAAAAACGCAGATGATACGCCCTCTGACTCTCCCCCCTCCCGTTCCGACTTTTTTGTCGGGATGGTAAAGCTAGACCCCAGGTTCCCGCTCGCTTGCAAATGGGCAGATAGCGTTATGGGGGGTTTCATCGAGGAGTATTTGGCTGTGTTCATGCGTACTAGATACAACGCGTAGATCAGCAAGCAATCTCGTCGGTAGGATTTCCTCGCCAGAAGAAGTAGCGCATACGCAATGGCGTGGGAAGGGGGGTTTACTCATAGTCGTACATGCCGTACATAGTCGTTAGGCCATTGATCTCGCATCCCTACAAAGCCGGGACGGAGCAAGCCGGTTTCTCACCGGACCAGGCTCTCACATCAAGAAGCACGTGGGGGGGGGTGTACTCATAGTCGTGCATGCCGTAGTCGTTTGACCATTGACCTCGCATCCCTACAAAGCCGGGACGGAGCACGCCGGGTTCTCACCGGACCAGGCTCTCACATCACCAAGCGCGAAGCACCGTGAGGTATTTGGCGAGTCGAATGAAGGGTGAGCTGCATCCTGCTAAGGGTGTTCGGCATCTTGTGCTTACTGCCTTGCGTACGGATGACAGCTACGTATGACTTAGTTTATTTTCTGGTGCTTTCACTTCCAGAGACAGTTGTAAGCACCGTGTAACTGCCTCGAGGAAGCTTGACCATTTTAACACAACGTGGTGCGATCATCCCCCGTTGCGCGGAGTGAGGTTTCTCGACCCCGCACAACATGATCTACTCGACCACCATTATGGTTACCGCCATAAAAAAAACGAGGTAAAAAAAAAACCGGTAACCTGGTTGCCGAGTTCACGAAGTGGATTAGCTTGTTTTACAACGTCGTTGCCAAGCGACGAAAACCCAATCCCGATGGCAAACACCGAGTGGGGGGCTTGTTTTACAACGTCGTTGCCAAGCGACGAAAACCCAAACCCCGATGGCAAACACCGGGGGGGCGGCTTGTTTTACAACGTCGTTGCCAAGCGACGAAAACCCAACCCCGATGGCAAACACCGGGGGGGGATACGTGGGGGGGGGAATTCCCCCGTATTTCTGTTCACTGGGTGCCGGTCATGGACTGCTGTTCATTTTTGGACGGAACTTGAGTCATTCCTTTGTGCAGAAACGCTCTCGACAAGAGCCCGCGAGTGTGACCAACGGCGTGCACGCGCCAACACCTCAAACATGACGACATCGGTTCGACGAGACGCCGACCGCGTGACCGCTGGCGTCATGTTGTGCTGCTGCTGACGGACCACCATATGCCGGGTTGGCTCATGACGCGCGGTTTCTCAGTCCACCCTCCGTCGCGGCCCTCACAGGAACCGCTCCTGTAGTCGCCGCCCCCATCAACGATGCTGCCGCTCCGTCCGCGAGTGCCTGCGTCCCGATCGTCCTCCAGGCGCCACCGCCGGGGAAACCATGGCTGCCGATGGTCGCCCTCTCACCGCCGGTGCTGCTACCGATGCTGCCACTCCCGCCGAGCGCCTGCTCCCCGGCCGTCTCCCCCCCTGCCGCCGCTGCCGCTGCCGCCGCCGCCGGGGGGGGGGGGACCCCTGCTGCCGAGGGTCGCCGCTCTCGAGGGTGAGAAGAGCTTGAGTCGCTCCCTCGAGCAGAAACGTTCTTGACAAGAGCCCGAGGGCGTGACATCGAAGCATACGCACCGACACCCCAACCTTATGTATGAAAGGGGCGTTTAAAACCTTCCAAACATTTCTAACGCGTCCTCTACACTCTACCGGCATACCCTCAATACTCTCAATATATTGACCTTCGAATCGCTCGCCGATTTGTTTGGATGGTCCGCGAAGCACTTCAAATCTGCTCTCTAGAAAACCCATGTGGCGAAGGACAGTGAGCTGTTTCCTTGTGTGTGAGAAAACATTGATTTGGGTCGATAGCCGCTAGATAGTAGGTGGCCCCGCTATAGTGCAACAGCCCCCATTTGGATGGCGAAACCGACAAGGCCTCTTGTCCGCCACAAGAGGCAGAACCTCCTCAAACTCGGGGAGGCGTCATGGTTTGCATTTCCCCACCAAACCATACTCGCGACATCGCGACGTTTGCTCTGTAGCTCTGTAGTTCGAGGTACGCATTTGGGATCGGGTTGGGCAAGGGGTGGGGAAGCCGAATGAAACACGGATCTGAGAAACTGAACCTAAAATCTCCGGAACTTTTCGACTACCGTACGTAGAAGGATGGGGGCGTGAAGTTCACGTTTATCTTTTACGTGAAGAACCGAGATGGTCATGGACTTACCGTCCCGGCCGACGAACACCCTCTCTCATCCCGCTAGAAGGGATTCTTCATGGCAATGGTTTGGTCCCCAGAGACTTTCTGGGAGGGTCGTAGCAGTGATCTATGACTACTTGAGCATATCCGTACAGTT